TATAAAATAAAATAATGAATTTATACTATTTATGAAATAGAGGAAGGTAGAAGTAATAAACTTTAAGACTTCCAGATATTACTTTTCATTTTCCTTTTCCAGAACAAAATTTTTAGAATAACTATATGCATGAGACGCTGTGGTTACCTACTTACTTAAAAGTTAAATGGTAAAATAGAATTAGAATTCACTTCACTGTCTTGCATATATGACTGTATGAAGTTTATTCAACTTTGCGAAATTTAATTTACTTTTAAGGGTGAGGGGGCATGTTGGTGTGTCGGCGGGTGCTGCTGATCGCAGCCGCGATCGCGGCCTCGATCGAGGCTGGCTCCGCTAGTTACCACCCTGGCATCTCGTCGTCGGATTATTCTGGATACCCGAGTGGATACGCGGTTTACTCCGGCGCGACGTCACCCGAGTCCTCGTCGAGCTCGTCCACGTCCGGCCCATCAGAGCTCGCAGCCAGCAACACCGAGTCGCTTTGTCGACCATCCGAGTTCCGATGCAGCACCACCGGTCATTGTGTCGCGCAGGACAAGTACTGCGACGGCGAGAATGACTGCGACGACAAGTCTGACGAGCCGAGATATTGCACCCGTGAGTATCTCCGCGAACGAACGGAGACGTCGAACAAAGCAAGTCGCCGGGGCAAATCGATACGAGGTATCTCTGTGTCTCTATCTCTCTCTCCCTTTCCTTCTCGAAGGAACTTTTTGTTATTATTATATGTATTTAGGAACATAATCTAAAAAATAATAAATGAGTCCAATCAATCAGTTCCTGGAAAAATTTATTGTTATAATTCTCTTGTCAAATCTGATTTATATACGATTGTTGAATAATATAATAATCAAAAAAGTACAAAGTAAATCACCATGTTCATCAATGTCAACCAATGGATTATTATTTTCGTGTTTCTAAAAATTAAAGAGATTTTTGTTTATCGGGCAGAATGTCGGATTAATCATTGTCAACCAGACAATCAAATATTCACAGTAGATACACTGAACGTAGTAGATCCATAGTGTACACCTGATAATAAAATGAAAAATGTATTGACAGAATCGATATTTCGAAGTGAAAAAATAATTGCAATCGTTTTCACTCATGTATGACCGTTTATTTATCTTATATACTCAAAACAATATGAATTATTGAGTATATAAACCAGGAACAAAGTTTTCGCTCATCCAAGCAGATATAGAATATTCCAAGTCAGTAATTATTTAACTGTGCGTTATTATTTTGGCTCCATTTATATAAAAATCAAAATTGTACAATAATATAAAATTCATTCATAGAATATGTCGTTCATAGAACATATAATATTAGTATCGTACTTGTTTCAACATATATGGCTTGTATTAGCATGCAAACGCACAATTAAATAATTTTTATTTAATAATTTAATGAGGTAAATAATTTGTTCGTTCATTATTAGTATAATAGTAATTACCACTTCATACGAAATTTAATCGATTTGCAAAGCTCAAATATAATTATGTTACACAAATATTGCATTTTCATCTTTTTGAATTTTTAATTTTCGATAATTTATGCGATACATTTCAATAGAAACGTAACATAATAGGAGGAATTTATTATAGCATTCATGATCCAATTCCTTCATAAAATTTCAAATTCATATTAAAATATGCACAGGCCTATGTGAACTAATTACATGAAATAATTATGTATACTTTATATACTTTCAATAGTTATGAAATAAGAATACAAAAAAATATTGCAATTGTATAGAAGATTTTTAATCAGCATTGTTATTAATCAACATTATTAATCAACATTATTCTAATTTTTATGGATTTGTGAATTACTTCTGCACACTGCTATTAGTTTGTTAAATATTACATTGCATTATAAATACAGCTATAGCAATATAACAACATAATATATGTATTAAGTAAATATAAAAATGTGAGAGCTCTAAGTTTGAATAAATATAAATGTCTATGAACGTTGAACTAAATGTACAGATTACTTTGCGTTTGAGAAAGAGAGAGAGAGAGAGAGAGAGAGAGAGAGAGAGAGAGAGAGGGAGAGAGATATTATGCCGTGTCATAATTTAGCATAATTATACCCCAGAATTCATTTTTCGTACACAATAACTGCACAATAAAAACATTCCAGCTTACCATCGGACTTTGTTCGGCTTGATATACGAAACCGTGAAAGTAGTTAGGAGAGTTAATATTTCGTTTCAAATAATATTTTATCCCACCCGTATCATGAGCATAATCACGACGGAATATTGAAATATTCTAGAATATATTTTCCCAGTGTGATTGTGAACGCATGACGGAAACATTTCGGCGTGCAATCGGACATTATACGCTTCGATGTGCCAGGATACCGTGCGCTTAGTTAGGCGTTAAAATTCTCTTGAATATTATTTTACCACGTAACAACACGAACAAATGATTATACGACGCAATTTACTTTTCCGCGTAATTATTGCACGACAAAAAAAGGAAACAACTGAACGAATAAACAAACATTTTCAGCTTGCAATCGGACGTTGTACGGTGACGTCGGCCGGACCTACAGGGTGGAGATCCGCAGGCCGAGGGAGGATCGACTGCCATTCCTGTGTCACCTCAACTTCACTGCCGCCGGATCCGATCTCGGGGATCTAGTTCAGGTTGGACGTAGAAATGATGTAGTTGTAGAAAATAATGCTGACTGGTGCCCAGTTGGCGTGGGGAGTCTGTCATGGAGCAGACAGCGGGCCGCGTCGTGTCGGAGCCCGGATAATAATTTATATCCCGGATTTTACGATTCTTATCGCGTTTATTGGCGAAATTAAATCAACTCCCACGCTGAGTAAACACCGCGTCCGCCATCGCGAAATAAGCTTACTCTACAGATCCCCGATCCTCAACTGTAAGTTCCCGAGTATATATTTTCATTTTCAGATATATATTTTCGATCTGATTGATATTGACATATCGATTATTACGTCCCTCCGCAATGATAGAACCGATATTTACATTGTTAGCGGAGTACAATCAAACGGTCAAGAGCATAAAGTTTTCACAATAGATGGGCCGGATATCTCGGGATACAATAAAAACGTAAAAATGACAGCGTAAAAATACTTGAAAGCTTCTGAATCTTTCAAACAGCTTTCTTCGACACTTCCCAAAATTAATATTTACGAATTAAAAGATTTTTTTCAACTTATCTGCTATTGCGTTAATATTGTGCAAATAGTATATACATATACAAATAAAATACAAAATTTGTATCATAGAATTTATAAAATAGTTGCGTTTTTATATGCATAATAAAAAATATTTTGTGTGTGTATTAAAACAGTCCACTCGCTAAAATTTTTTGAATTTTTAACGTATTTGAGTATTAATTTAACATAATGCGATTACATTATTTGATATTAATGTTAGCAATGTTGTGTTAAATAACATTTTTTAGTGTCAAAATTGACACAGTTTATGAATAAGCAAAAATAAAAATAATGTATATTTTAAAATGTAAATTCCAAAATAAATGAGTAAAATACATATTAATTTTACGAAAAAAATATTCTTTCACACAATTTGCTTGACACAAATTGTGTCAGTATTATATTCTTTATATTAACTTTTTTACATAATATTTGTGTTACTTTTTAACATATCATCTTATATATATATTAAATTATAATAAATTTACAAAAATTTGAATGAAACTTTTGGAACACGTGAAATATGTTAAATTTAACACAAATTTTCTAATTGTGTATTTTCATATTACAGGAGTTACGTAACTTTTCGCGCTGTAAAACTTCCTTCTTGTGACTTCTCTTATTCATTCTCATATTTCACGAAAAACGTGTACATTGCAAAATAATTAACGAGGTTATTATAGAAATATTTGCTTTTATCGCGAAGAGTTCGTAATAACTGGTATTCTAACTTTTATCTTTAGTTTTATTTCCAACAAAACACCATTAGCTAGTTGCGCACGCGGATACTCGCTGACTCATAACTTTTAGAATAATTCCTCCCTCCTGTGGCTCTCTCCATGTTGCAGTTAACTTTTGATACCTTCACGGTCGGCCGCTTTCTATCCTTTACGTCGGAAGGATGTCCAGATGGTTTCATGACTATTCGCGAGGAAGGTCGTCCTGCAACGGGAGGACAATGGTGTGGCAGCGCGTGGGGCTACACAGTCTATTACAGCGAAACTCCTTCCATCAATCTGACTTTATATTTACTACGTTTATCAGAGCAGGTAAGAAATTGTTTCAGCTCAAGGAGATACGCGATATGATTTTCCGCAATTTCACCGCGGCAATATAGAACTTTTGTCGTAGTTGTTCTACGGTAGCATTTTAATTTAAATAACGATATTTAAAGTTGCCTTTTCTCGTCAGAGAAATATTGAAAACATCATTCATTATATTTGTTATGTCGCTATCTCTCCAAATTTTAAATTATAAATTTGTTAAAGTTAAAATCGACTTGTACGAATTGTTCAACAAGAGGTTGTAAAAAAATTCTGAGGCAATCAGCAACGAGATATTTCGAATAAAATTGTCCAACTGAAAATGTTTAACCTGAAGTAAAAAAGGACGACGTGTTACGATCGCGGCACAATTTCGAAAAATTTTTCCGTGTCTCAGGGTATCGGCTACAACTTCGACTTCAAGCTGTCGTACAAGTTCCTGAGAAGAAGCGAGGCGCATCTCAGATACGGAAACAGTAGTATGTCCACATGGCGCGGCGAGCTAGTAAACGGCACGTATTGCGATCGCGTCCTTACCAAATGCGATACTAGAGCCTGCCGGCTGCAGTCGCCAAATTATCCCGGAGTTTATCCCAGGAATGTCACTTGCTACTATCGAGTCGAGCAAAACCGCGCGCCAGTGGGTCATCGGGCTTTACTCGCCGTTAGTCAGCGAAACAGTCACAAGATACACATTAAGGACCAGGTCGTGAAATACGACAGAAGTCAGCGAGTGCTAAGGTAAATTGTTGATGCTAATGATGCTAATCAAATCAATATTCAGTAAAGTGTAATGTCGAATTAATATCATTAGTTTACATAGCAAAAAATTACTTTGAAACATACAAGGTGTTTTTATAGATTTTTGAATGCTGAAAATACACGATAACACAAGCTAAATTTCTTCAGTTAGGTTTCCGAAATAATTGACATTTATTGTGCAAAAAAAATGTTTTTTTTTTACTGTATTTGACCTTTTTTTTTAAAAAAAAAAAGTTAAAATGTTATTTTGAAATTCTGATCAGAAATTATAAATGTGTTATTGATCTCTATTGTTGAAATTTAATTCATGTTTTCAAGAAAAAAATTATAAAAGCGTCGTGATTTAAAATTATTAGGTGTTGGAATTAATTCGTAGCGTTTTACAAGTGATGGGAAGTACTTTCATTAATGTATTTTTTAATGCTCATGTGAAATAAATAACATTCTTTCATTAAAAAACGCTACGAATTAATTCCAACACCTAATATGTAAATTCTAAAAAACATCTTTTTTTAGAAATTAATCTAATTAATTTAATGTCAATAATTTCGCGAACATATCTCTTCAGAATACGAAAAATTTTCAAAGATAGAGAAACAAAAATATGCAAAGAGGACACTCACAAATGTAAATAACGTATAGAAAATAGATTTTTTTAAGTAAAATTCTCGCACTTTTCAAGGGTATGGGATCAGTGCAACGTCGTGCAGGATTATTTAACAGTATATGACGGAGGTTCAACCTCAGACCGAGTACTTGTAAGGCTGTGTGGAGGAGATGCGGTGCCAGACATCATCAGCAGTCACAATACGATGTTGTTAGAGTTTCATACGTCCCCGTACGACAATCCGTTTCATCCAGTACCACTGTCTTTCCTGCCAGGATTTGAACTCGAGGTTCAGGTAATGCTCGGATATCATAATACCTTTTCGCATAACATCAATTACAAATTTATAGCAAAAATATGAAAATTGCAATTCGTGGAATTAATTATTTGTGATTATTTTAATATCACTGATAGATTATTAAAATGTAATAGAATTGAATTTAAATATATACATTAAAATTAAATATATTCAACAATATATCGATCGCTTCTTTATGTATATATATATATATATATATATATATGTATATGTGTATATGTACATATATACATTCACACTTATTATAGGTGATCTTTGTCGACGAAAAGTCTCGAAGTTTTGTGAAGGAAAATGACAACTGCGATTTTTATATATCCGGTGACGAGAATTCGTCGGGCATTCTGGAAAATCCGAAACACTCTTTACCGCCGAACACGACTTGCCGTTATCACTTCCAAGGGAAACTCAATGAAATCGTTTGGTTATCGTTCGTTAAATATTATGCCGCCAGCGTGGAAGCTGCTGCGAGTATTGACACTGCCGCTGATTGCAATGCAAAGCTTCTGATATGGGATGGCGATATCACAGTGGACAAACTTACTTTCAGCCGAAAAGTACGTACCAAATTGTATCCCGCCTCTACAAAGTCTGTTACTTAGCAACTTTCTTGCTTCGTTACTGAAGTAATATAACTTCGTTACTGAAATAACTTTGTTAGTAAAGTAATATAGATATAAATATAAATTCAGAAAAGAGTGCTTTGATTCCACGAGCAGGAGAAATATATAATCTAAATATCTCGCAAGAGAAATTATAAAATTTCTTCCGTGAATTCTAAGGATATAATTATTCGAGAATATAACACCAAAAATTCTGTGCATATTAATATATATTATGCGACAAATTTGTCAAATTACATCAATACGACTGAACATTCTTCCCTTATTTTTGAAAAATATCGCATACTAAATAAAACATTAAAGAAACCTATAATATACGTAACGTATATACTATAATACTTGTCATGTGCAATATTTTGTGATAATACCATTTCTTTTTCATCTGATACATATATATACATATTTAATAATTTCGCAGAACGTCACGCTGATGGGACAGTTTTGTAAGGACGACATACCGCGACTCTGCGACCACAGTCTGCTGCGTAACAGCAGCCGTCATACGCGGCCGTGTAGCCTTGCGGAGAGTTACGTGTCGACCGGGCGCGATCTCACCCTGGAACACATATTGCGCCAAGGAAGCGCGTTATATCCAATAAGTTTCGTGCTGCGCTACGAGTTCGTCCACGAGGCCATCTCGTGTAACCACGTGTTTGCCTCGGTGCCGTCGGCTTCATCCACGTCTTCCACGTCGTCTTTATCATCCTCCTCTTCTTCTTCATCATCCTCATCCTCCTTATCGTCCAACGCCGGAAAATTCGCCTCACCGAAGAACGTGTTCTTCTACGGTCGCGGTGGGGCGCAGAATCTGAGCTGCGTGTACAGATTCGAGGCCGAGCCCGATCACAGGATAGAGCTATCCTTCGTCAGGGCCTCCTTCGGTGGCAAGAATTGCGCGTCTTACGTGGACCCGTTGGTAAATCGATGGACGTGCGACCGACGCATGGCGGATATTAAAAAATTCGGCATGGCGGATCTTGTTGTCGCTGAATATCCTTGGCAAGGAGTAGAATTGGTATGTATGACATAACAAAATCTTTTTTCTTTTTTAATGCCTTTAATTAAAAAACTTCTAAATCTCCACACTCTCCCTTTCTCATTAAAAAGTCATTTTAAGAGTCTAAGTTCCTAAAAGAATTAATATAAAAATCAGGAAAATTTATTTCTAAGTAATTAATTAGTCAAACATCTTCGAAAATAAAATAATGTAATTCTCTTTTCGTAATCATTGTAATCCTCTGATTTTAGGTTCGCGATTGTCTGTGCTCGAACGTGAGTGAGAGAATCGTCGTGCGGACTCTGACATCGAACGTAGTGGAGGTCAGATTTACCATCACGCTCATGAATGTTACCCAGGATTATCGAGATTTCTTCTTCGAGGGGGAATATCGTTTCGTTCCGGTGGGCGCGGAATCGAATGAGCACGGATGTTCGACGAGACTCGAGGAGCGACGATTGCGCGGCACCAGCGGCGAGATTTCCCTCAGGAGTCCTTTACCGCGGGTGATCCCCGGCCTGGCTGCAGTGGAGGAGATCCTAACGAACACGGAGGATCTCACCGCGACGCAATGCGTGAACGAGCCGTGGTTGATCGAACCTGAAGACGCGCGTATTAACTTCCTGTACTTGAGAACTGCCGGTTACGGCATTACCTTGGACAACGTTGAAGAGTGCACGACCCTGAATAGAATCGTTGTTTATTCAGCTGCGAATACAAAAGAACGCAGTGTAATCTGTCCAGAGGGTGGCGTCGACACGGCCAGGACCGTCGACTTCTTCTCAGGTGGCTGGAATTATAGTGCCGTGAATGCGAGCGTGGCGATGGCGCAGCACTCTCGTAGCTTCGTCGTGGAATTCCTTCAACGGGAACCAGGTTTCTACGCTGTCACATGGATCGCGATCTCCAAACGTTCACCAACCGCGTCCAATGTGGGTGCCAATGCGTTTGCCATATTGCCCACGGAAGATTGCCCGTACAGGTTCGTAATGCAATTTCCATATATAAAAAAATCATTTTCTTATTGATCATGAAATATATAAGTCAGAGTTTAATCGAAATAAAATTATTTGATTGGAACTCTCTCTATCTCTGTCATTAGATGTCCAGAGATCCAGGCATGCATCAGCTCTGTCCTATGGTGCGATGGTGTACGTCATTGTCCCTCAGGCTTTGACGAGGAAGAAGCCAATTGCTCGTACCGTTTCGGAGTGACGCTGCTCTACGTTGCGGTGGGCGCCGGTGCCCTCGGTATATTCTTAATCCTCCTGTTGGCCACTGGTTGTCTCAAATATTGCCTCTACCGGCACAAGGCGCGTAAGAAGAAGAAGAACGTTGCTCTGAACGTCAATCATCTCCACGTGAATCATACTCATCACAACAACGGCTTGACCGGGAGCCGTCTGAGTGGACGTTACAACTTAGCCACACCCCAGGAAATGTACCTGGAGAATTACGGGAAGGATAGTATTTGTTGACAATACGCCATCGCCAATATTGAGACCACCGTGTGAATAGTCATGATTTTTAAATGCCTACCTCGCTCTGGGCCCCCCTCCTCCACTTCCCATCAACCCCCTTGAGTAACGGACCGGAGTGTACGGCAGCCAAACACTCCCATCCCAAAGGCACGCATACACAGAACACACACACACACACTCACATACATGAGTACACACGCATACACACGTATACATATACATACTTTCGCAGTAATCGTACGAAATCCCGTAGAATATATCCGAAGCTCATAGAAGCGAGCGCACGAGACGTGCTTATAGGTAGCCATTTGGTTGATGGCAAACGTAGTCAAGTTCTCTAATCGAATCATAACGATCGGCTTGCCTTGAATAAGCAGATCGCAATTCGACTTATTAGACCGAGGTGGATGATGTATGTCCGTCGAGCTTATCGCGAGAATGGATACCACGAGACACCTGCCTAATCCTTCAGAAAGGAGTCGCGAAATTGATGTAACGCACCTCGTACGCTCGTGTATATGGCATTTACGATAAACACCGCAGTATCATGGTAGGTTTAGATACACACGATTTAGGAGTAAAATGAAAAAAAAAAAAAACGAAAGATACGCACGAGTGGACGAAGAGCGGCGAAATTGGCGTTTACGCAATGCTTTTAAGAGACGTAGGATACGCTGTTTCCGTTGAGTGCACTTTCTGTCGGTTATCGAGCAAACGTCGTAAACGTCTACAAGTGTGACGATAAAAGTAACGAGATGGAGGGAAAAGAGAATAGAACGATGGTGCGAACTTATCGCGAGAGAAGCGTTTCACGATAGCTTACGTATGAATGACGATGCGATAGACGGGAAAGCATACATGAGAATACGCGAAGAGTCACGACACCGTGAATGACACTCGAATGATATTCGCGGACGTGCCAGTAAAGGTCGAATGTATACATTGCTTGTACTCTTCTGATCCCGATCGCATACATTCCGACAATTCGCACTTATAACATCACTTATGAGATCATGGAGAAAAAAATTGATAAAAAGGAATAGTCGTGATTAAAGAGGCGTGATTTAACGTTTGTACAAGATCTAGCTTGATGATCGTTACTATTGGACTTACGCACTTCACATCCGTCTAATCTAATTTTCTCATTAGACCTATGGCTGGACTATGTTGTTGCGATGCATTGTTCCAAATTAAGATGACTGCACAGGGCTGTTTTTTTTTACCGTTAAAAGGTATTAACTTATTTCTGGTTTATTTTTATTTCTGATTTAATTAAATATCAAGATCATCATGTATTTGCAATTTAACACCGTGACATTTTGATCAGAATCAAATTATTGGCTGTAATGAATATTATGAAAAAAAACTCGATAATTGAATATAAATCGATTTCCACCTTACAAATTGCTTTACTGAGATCTGATTCGATATTACCTAGCAAATCTGATACAATTATCCTTATATTATAACGCATTATATTGTATTATAAATAACTCATTTAACTATGATATTTTCGTGCATTACAATGCAATGATCGAGTCGCCGATCTCATTCCATTCAACGTCGAACCAACAATTATTTTTTTATACTATCTACAGTTTACGATATTTTGAACTTTATAAGTGATTTATGGAAGATGGAATAATATACGTAGATAATTTACTTGAATAATCTAGATTCGGTATCGATACGCGCTTGAATGAGACATAGATGTCTACGCGTAATTAATTGAATGCTACAGGAGCATGTACACCGTTAATCCTGTTAAGCAAATGGACGCAGTCTCCACGCGTTAGCCTATTGTAGACACTGTATGGTAAAGCACGTCTAACGTACGTCTGTATGCTGTGATAGAAGTAAGCGTATCAACAATCGGAAATAAATCTCTCGCGTAAATTTCACGTTCGCATATACGCATCCTCGAAAACCCATCGTCGAAGATGGATCACGACCTTCCAATGCAATCTTCTTTGGCGACATCGATATCTTAACGCGGCCAAGCGTGTAATTTTTAGATCATCGATCGAATCAAAAAGATGTAATCCAAGTCCTGGATGCGAACACGATTTTTCAGACGTAATATATGTACTTTGATAGAAAATTTGGTAAAAATTGATTGAAAACAGACTTAACCAGAAAAGCAATATAAGTCGACAAAAATAAGAATTTGACATGTTATTACATTATACTTAAGAAGACGTAATCAAATTAGGGTGAAGCAAAATTTTATATACATCCCTTTAATCTTTTAGAAACGTAAAAAATGGTCATAGTAAGAAGCGCTTCGATTTTTATATACATTTGTAATTTTTTCTATCCACTTCGAATTGAAAAAATTTTCTAGCTTTATTATTTTAGACAGCAATTAATTGGAGAATTTTATATAAGAACAGTAATTGAATACGAGTTATACTTGCAATTTTTAGCAATCAATTGCGATATTTTGATACGGTATTTTTGCAAACTCACGTACACTTTCTGCGACAATTTGAAAATTTCCGCAGAGATGTCGGCCGCGTTAAGATATTTTTTCGCCAGTCTCATGAATTGCTCCGTGAATAATTCATTACATAAGGACATCGCCTACCAACGAATACTGCCGCAGTTATTATTTATTCATAAAGTTTTATAAGTCTCTTTCTACCCGAATACGAAAAACTGTCCGAGTATATAACGTTCTGTACGCTATAAGACACGGAATCCGATAACGAGTAATGTAACTAGCGAATAAACGTAGCGTGCATCAGAAGCGAAACTGTGCACCCGCCAAGCTCCTCGATGTGTTAACTGCGCGATTGCCACATTAAAGACATGTTAAAAATTTACTCTAACATATCGAAAGTTCGAAATTAATTTAAGCGCGTCACACCATCCATCACTAGTCGAGACTGAAGTAGCGAAGTCATCTTTTCACGGATAACCGTGACGACTTACTTTCGAAAAGAAATTTTCCCCAATTTTCCCTTTATATAAAATTCCGTCAAATAAGAAAAAAAGAGGAAGCGTTTCCCACGAAATTTTTTATATATTCTCGAGTCGGTGGTTTTCTCGCAGTTCACGATAAATCTATCTATAAATAAGTAAAAGCGTAAGTCCTTCGACGACGGAAACCGACGTAATAAACATTGTGGGACGCATCGTTTTCTATTCACAAGGGAACGACGATTTATATTACCTATTTTCCCGGTATCTTCCCGGCATCAAGACGTTGATATGACCCGGCCTTTAAAAGCATCCACGAAAGTCGTTCCTATCGTTGTCGTAACCAAGACGGATCAACATCGAGTTTAATTTCTCCAACGGATATATGAATCTAAAATCTACTGTGGAGCGTGTAGTCATCATGGGATTTATACGGTACGACGACTCGACTCCACGTCGCGCTCAATCGAGAATGCGTCCTACGATTACGAAACTATAGTATTATGCATGTATGTAAGAACGTACACGAAAAAAAAAATAACATAAAAAAAGGAAAAAAAATGCCGTAGCACAAACTGGCTCGCACATACGTAGCTAAAAAAAAAGTGAATGGTAAAGAGTTTTGAATCAAAGAGGCCTTGATTCAACGACGTTTCTAAGCAAGTATTACGCGTTACACGATGTATTGTAATCCCGTGTTTATAATTTTAATAAAATACCATCGCGTTAAAGAAACCCAGCAGACCAGCCGTGGGAAATGCATTATTAATCAATTTATCGTTCCGTTCTCAGAAACATAACTTTCTTTCCGAGTTTTATGTATATACATTTATGTATATTCATGAAGACATATAATTCATAGTGTCCAAAGTTTTGTTCTACATAAACCTATACAATGAACAATGACTACAACTAGAAGGATTATTCATTGTTAGAACATATACAGATTTTCACAAATTATATCTCTCTTATTTGCAAAAATTCTTATTTTTTTAAGTAAATAATAATTTAAATTTATAGTGATATTTACTGAGAAAAATATAGTTAACAGAATAAATAAATTTCAGAAATAAATTTAAGAAACATCTATAAAAAAAAAATGAAGATAAAAAAATTTTTTAACATAATTGTAATTTTTGCTAAAAGAAGTCCCCTGCGTTTCCTTTTTCTCATATACTGTGTAAAAGTCTAGAAACTTTGGATTTTAGGTCAATTCTCCTCGATAAACTCCTCGTTAAAACGATTGTAGGGACTCTCAATCGCAATCCCTTGAGAAAGAACGCTATTCATATTCTCTCTAGTTATAATTTAAGTTTATTAATTCACATTATATCGCAAATTTGCCTCGTTAAATTTTCATACGATTTCTTGTTTGTCTTCGAGATGATTTGCGAAACTTCGTTTTCAATATACAAATTTTATAAGAATAACAGTAAAATACAGTAAAAATAATTAATTACAGTAAAAATAATAAAAAAGATGTTTTATTTTTAATTTTTATCAAGAAATGCTTCGGAAGAAAAAAATTTTCAAAAAAATGTAGATAAGAATATTATATCATCTATTTCCTTAAAGAAAGCTCTTGCTGCAAATTTTTTTATAAAAGTATCATTAGAATGTTGATAAGTTCTTTTTTAAAAGTTATTGTTTTACTTATTTTACGATTATAAATAGATTTTTAACTGCCACATATTACACGATTCTATATTTTACGTATTAATACAGAATATATATTTTGATATCTATCGTAACAAAAATAATTTCAAAACGCAAAGCGTTCGCTTTGTAATAAAAGCAGCAGAATATTCAAAGTTGACATAAAATATAATTTTATTTTTAAGTTTTCAATACAAATGTCTCTATTTTTTTTACTTTAACGATAACAGCAATTTGTCTTACTTTTATTCACGCAATCCAAAAAAATGTATATACTGCGGAAGACATGCACGGTTGATCGCCATCAGGATGACATCGCGCTCCTACGTTGTTTGCCTCTTGACATCTTCCATCCGTCAATTTTCCGTCCACGAAAAACGTAAAACCGCTCGCCTACAACCCGGCAGATTTATCGCGCCGTTCTCGATGAAATATTCATCACGTCGTGGACAGACTCGCGAAAAGACGGGATCCTCGAATGTCCAGTGGGAGCGCATCGTTCACTGATACGGCGATACACGGCAAGCTGGAACCACCGAGATCGCTGCACGGTGTCGAGGATGCCGAGGTCATTTGGGACACGATCACGCGGCGATTTCCGAATGCGGCACCGCTTCTCTGCGAGATGGAAACGGTGATCGAACGAGCAGAAGATCTACTGCAGCAGCTTAAAACGCCTTGCACTCAGGGAAATGGTATGCGATTCTTCGAAAGCAACCGGAAAGCAACTTTTCTGTCGTGCACGTGCATGACAGGCAAACAAGTCTCGGAGAATTTTAGTATACACTCAGTTTAACATGTATTACGATTCAACATGTTTAAAATAACGAGCTTAAGCTTTAAATTAATGGTTACAATAGCGTGATCCAATTATGCAAATAGCCTGCATTTATTCGTGCACTCGGCTAACCTCATTGTAATTATCACGTTATTAAATTAATGGTATACATGATATAATGGGAAACACACAAGTAATTTATTCACGAGGAAGATTTATCTTTCATAGAAATGTATGGTTTACGCATGACCTACATTCATTTATCCTTTCAATTGCGTGCCGGACTTATTGACCAAATTGTTATCCGGAATAATCCTTCATTTGCTTGATTTTGTCAATCTAGCGTTTAATGATTAAAGAGTGCTTATTCGGAAATTTGCGACGTAATCTGATGCTACGCGTAAGCTGATTTGCTAAATTTGCTGCATCCACACCTTCGGTTATAATTTGTAGACAGAGAGAATTTTATTTGTCAAATTATGCATAATGATTTTTCATGTCGTACACTTTTAAGTGTATTCTAGAAATTTTAGCAATTCTGATTTTAAAATTTACATCGCGGCAATATTGTCTAACTTATGCTAGTTCACAGGACCTGACTCACTCAATATTACAGACACGTCCAGCTCGTTTCACACACCGGATTCCCGGGAATCTAACGCGACGATTTCGATGGTGTCCGACATAGAATCGTTTGCCGAAGAAACGAATGTACGTAGCTTCCCGCATATTTCCTACTTATTGTTACACGCTGTCATTGCTTATTGCCGTATTAAATTTAAAAAAACCTGTGTACCTTTTCCTCCAAGATTTCAGAACATTACGAAGTCGCCGAGAACGCAACTGAAATGCAACTGAAAATGCACGATATTCACGAAAAGCAAATGGATTTAGAGTCTCAATATTGTAATGAACAATCTATTCAGTGCGAAAAGAAACACCCCTATCAGGAATATAATTTGAATTCACCTTTAAGAGTCGACGAGATTGTTGAACATTTCAAAACAAGCTCGATGAATAAATGTCACAATTCCCAAGAGAAATTAAATACTAATGTAAAGGATAATGTTGACGAAGCAATCGGTATGAATTCGGAAGAAAGTGAGTACACGGAATAATTAGAAAAAAATATATTTTACAAATTCGTAAAGGTGGGAAAAAATTTATAACACCGCTTGTTTTAATAAATTACTATATTTGTAATTTAGGATTAATGAAAGCAGTGGGTGAAGTAAATAGTTTGGAAGGATGGGCAAATATGACTAATAATATACTGTGTAAATATCATGATGATATGGAAAGTATAAAATGTATTTCGCTTTTAATTATATAAATAATAAATGTTGCTTTAATCACATCTCAGATGATAACGATTCAGAAACGGAGCCAAGCGTCGACAGAAATATAGATAATCATTCATTAACAGCCAACAATGATGACAAATCTGACAAAAGTGATGAAAAAGTAATTAAAAACTAATGTTATGACATATTTATGTTATATTTAAGTAAAATATTATTGAATTAAATAAGGCAGATGAAATATTGCAACGCAGATTTTTTTGAAACAGAAGAAGCTTATAGATAAAAAATATTTCTTAATTTTATTTTTTTATCTAACGATAAGATTTTTAAATGTAAATCTGATTTATTTAAAATTACACTTACGACTTTAATAATATAAACGTTTAAATAATATAGATCAGTATTGCAAAATGTTCTGCAAATCTTCGTTCACCGTTTACTATCCTTGAAGAATATGCAAAGCAGTGTGAAGTGCCAATCGCATACAAGTGCAAATCAAAACCAAATCTGTATGTGATAAATGGTGACCTATGTGGATTTCGCGGTAAATACTTCGTAGCTCGTACAAACAGATTACAAGAAATATTATCACATATATACACACTCACACACACGTGTTAAGTATTATTTTTTTATTCAACAACACCGGATTATTTCCAGCAATTACACTTTAATGATAATTTTAATAACTTTTACTTGTCATTCATAAATCCGACATGTAAAATGTTGCAAGTGCTTCTTTACACGTTGTTAAACATAGTTTGGATAATGTGCCAGCAATGTCGTGTGCCGCGACCAAAGATCTGGCCAAAAACGAATGGGCAGCAAAAATATTGTGGATGATAGCCGTGCGTCAGATGGATGGCTCGAAATCTGTTCGCGGATTATTAGATTTCTCGAGAGAAGAGTAAGTTTAATGGTGCAAAAATATAAGAAAAATTAGGATATAGATTACGACGATATAAAATTTACCGGAGCATCGCTCGAAAAACAATCGACTTTATGTAAAATAGAATTTGATGCACTCTTTTTGTGTCAGGATGTTAGAGATAATAGCACTTGACGGCAAGTTGAAGAACGCGTCGCAAAAACTCTACAAATTTTGTCTCGAGAAAGGAGAATCTATTCCGAAGTATACTATTGGCAATTCGACAACACATCAAGGGTTTACGTACACAGCTCAATGTGTAGCTTTAGGTCACGTCGGAGTTGGTATGTTATTTTCTCACTATTTGCTATAGTCTGGTTAAAAACAATAATATTAAAAGGAGTCTACAATTTCGTATATTATAATAATATTTAATATATTTAATAATATTAAAAGGAGTCTACAATTTCGTATATTTTAATACTTTAACTTATTTAATAATAAAAGGAATCATTAAGTCATTCTTTTAAATTTTATCACATACTGAATTAGTTTGTTATTATTTTGTTTGTAATATTGAAAAAATATTTTACATTTTAGAAAAAGCTTAACATAATTTTTGTACCATTTCTTTATATAATCAATTTTCTTAAGTACTTATTAGAGTAATGTAACATATTTTATTTCTTATTTATAGGACAAGGATTAAGGATAGATAACGCTAAGATTGCTGCTGCTGAAAATCTATACCAGAAATATATTTGTGAGAAGCAATAATCAACATGAGCTCAAAAATCAATTATTACGATATAATGTACTGCCTACTCTTTTGGTTTATCTTTGATAATAAAATTTAATAACATAATAAACATGAAATAAACGATAAATAAATGTATAAAATATATACAAACAGTTTTTGGAAATTTTACATGTTGAAATTTTTTATTTGATCTTAGTGAACGTTCGTATCTTTATTTAGTATTTACAACTTATGTCTCACACACACACACACACACACACACACACACACGCACGCACACATTCAGAAAACATACACACACACATACAAAAAACTTTATATTCAAGATTAGTATACTGAATTTACAAGAAAAAGGACTGGAGATTTTATAAATAAAAAAATATTTTAATGCAGATATATTCATTACAATTGCTACTCTTAATGATCAAACACTCGACCATTCAAACTCTCTTTTGCAAGAGGCACTTGTCCGTTATCATGGTATTTTGGCGACTATCCAAGGTAGCTTTCCGGTTTTCTTAAAAGACCAATAATCATACAAAAGCTTGCCAAGCACGAGGAATATTAATGACGCCAATATGATGTTCAAGATGTCGAGGGGATGAAGCCAAGAGTCTTCGTCTGGTAAAATGCAGATCTCTGTCCGCGTAAGATCACGAATCTATGAGAGCCATTTTATTTTATTATGTTAAAGCAAGCAATTGCATTTTAATTGCATTATTCATGCATCTGCTTTTCAATCTGACTTGATAAAAAAGACGTGCAGTTAGTTACCTGTTTGTTTGAGTTATCGTTGTCACTCGTAAAAGCGCATCTTATGTCGTTGATGTCTTTTATTATATTTGGATGCCTGATCAGAAGATCCTATAAAAAATGTTAAATAAAATCATACGACTAAATTAATAATGATTAAGTTCTGGTAGTGGTCATTTAAGATCTTTTTTAAATTAGAAGTAAGAAATTCAAACAAACAAAAAATGTAAATAGTAGAATATTGAAAATTAAATTTAATATTATTTTATTTATATTACACTATCTATTTTGATCTTTTAAGAATTTTAAACGATTGAAGAATGTGGAACTTACTTCTACAAAACGGTGTAATTGTGCCAATCTCATTGGCAATTAATTTAAAAACATATATGTAAACTCTATATATAATATATTATACTGCGTCCCAAAATTTTTGACTCAAAATATAAGTAGCAAGAAAGTTTTCGAAAAATTAAGTAAAACCAAGTTATTTGTAAATTTTTATTTTAAGCAATTTTAAGTAATTTCTCATCTGAACAGTTTACAATTGACTATATTTAAACCTTTATTATCTTAAAAATAAAAATTTACAAATAACTTTGTTACTTAATTTTTTGAGAACTTGCTATAGTATTTTGAATTACAAATTTTTGCGACACCCTGTATATTGTCAATTAAATTGTAATAAATTCTATTATTAATTAAATTATAACCTGAAAGCCCGGTGTAAAGTGACAGTCGCACGTCCATGAATTATTGCCGAGATATAGATTAGCTGCATTTCTATTGTGCAGCAATGCATCCTCCAGAGCGTAAGTAGGCAACTAAAAAACGCAGACTAAAGAATTATAAACTGTATTTGTGTATCTTATACAATGATGAAATAACGCATGATATTTTATAATTTCTCTAAATCGCGTATCTTAATTCTTAATCATCTACCGTGCTGCACGAAATCAACTCAAACAGTTTTTTCATATTCCGACATCCGTCAAATAAAATGGATTGTTTGCTTATGTGACATCTGATAACTTTGACACGGCAAACTAACATCGGTAAGTTTATTCCCTCGAAGATTAAGACGTCGGAAATGGTCCAACCAGTCTGATCCTTCTAAGCGAGCGATAGATTCTACTAGATTATCGTCTATGTAGAGGTCTAACAGGGACTTGTAAGCGGGATTTGTCGCAAGCGGAGTTAGGTCCTTGATCTATAGTAAACAACAGACCAGATTAAAGTATTTTAACCACCGTCTAATATATGAATCATTATAATATATAGATATATGAAAGTGCATTATATAAGAAAACTGAAGAGAAATAATTTTCAATATGTTATATTTATTCTTTGCAAATATATTATTTACTCTTTAAAAATTTGAATAAAAAAATATTTTTTTTCTTTAAAAATATTAATAAGTTTATATTGATGTTTTATATAATAAGTTGCTTTGAAACATATTTATAAATATCTATCTGAATCTCATATTTAACGTTTTGTAATTCTACTTCATAACTTCATGACGCGTCTGTAAAAATTATTGTTTAAAGGGGGAGAATTATGTAAATATAAATGACCTTATTTCCACTTAGATGAAGAATATTTGTATCTGTGGGTAAAAATTCGGGCATTTCTGTTAGACCGCGATAACTACAATTGACTGAAATAAAAACTATAAGTCTCTGCGTAAATTCGCCTGGAGGTGTAACGTAAATCAATTCGCAATCGCAAACAGTCTCTTTGCATTCCTCCTTCAATGTCTGAAAATCAGATTGATTTAGCGGGGAACTCAAGATCTGTTTAATCATCAATTACAGGAAGAAGATACATTTTCTCGTTACCACGATTATCTTGACAACCGGGACAAGCGGTCTTCCATCATACGGCGTGGCGCAAAGTAATTTGTCTTTGTCGACGACTTTACTCGCGGCTGATCCTTCACTGGAGTCCAAAATCCACGCTACATCTTCCGTACATCTCAATGGATTACCTTCGTCAGTACATCTTCATTAATTATCCACCATTCGCGCATCAATCGAATGCAATTTTGATTAAACAATTCATTAATCACGTAAAAAATTTTTGCATTATAGAAGTATTACACAATATTTGACAAAAAATATAATATAATTTTGATTTGTCAGATTTTCTTAAATCATAACTTATTTGTGCACAAAATTTTATCGAATTATTCTCACCGGTCAGATAAATATCTTTTAACGTAGGTACATCAAAAACCGTAATACTGATCTCTTCGAGAGCATTGTTTCTTAAATCAAGGCATCTCAAACTCCACAAATTAGAGAACGCATCATTCGGTAGTAAACGCAGTTTGGTGCCGGTCACATTGATTTTCTATTAATTAATTAATATAAACATTTCCTCCAATCTTTCGTAAATATTTTCGAGAAAAAATATACGCAAAATATAATCTCACGATAAAAACGAATTTTCATGATCAATGTCTTCCAAGACAGTTTGCTGAACTTGTATCCTATTATTTCCTAAAATAATGTTAAAACTGTCCCACTTATTGTCCATGAAAATTCGAATAAACAACTTTAATGAAGTATAGACAAAGTTTTCGCTTGCTATCCATTTGGCAAGTATTTTCTACCTCCAGAAATTTCATCTCGCTTGGAAATGCAGTTGATAATTGAGTTAAATTACTGTTCGCGATTATTAACTTTCGTAAGAATATGAATCCCCGTAGAATCTCCTGCGGATCAAACGTTGCCTTCGGCCATACGCAAAGAATAAGTACCTGCACATCTTTAACCCTAAAAATATTATTATATATACTTTTTTAAAAACGCTTTATCTCTTAATAATGCAGCGACATTGTAATATTCCAACAATATTGCAGTGCAAATGTTACAGCAATGTTTCTGCAAGTCTCTACTCTATATAGGTAAACTTTAATTTTGTGTCAAGAAATCAACAATATTAACTCGATATTTATAAAAAATTTATATTTTAGATTTAGTTCTTAGTAACATTACCTTGCTCTCCATTCATCTTTAAAGCCGTTAAAACAGACGAGACGTTGTTGACTTTCCGTAAAGTTGCATTCGGGGTGAATATTGGCACGTGGATGATAACAAATCTCGTCATCTTTCGTGATGCCACGTGAAAAATGTACATGTATTAAGAACGCGAATCTATAAATAAAACGGTTTAATTGTGTAGGAAGAATTACAATACGAAGTTATCTCGCGAATGTTAGATATGCTTCTTCATGATATCAAAACTAGCTTCTTGCGCTCATCATGTTTAAACATCTATGCGTGATCGCGCAGAGATATAATTTATCCTATTTGGTCGTAAAATAATAGTTTGTTTAACAATATTACACAATTCGTGAACTCTCGTGAAGGTGTGCGACGGAAGTAAATAGATGGTTCACGATAGGCTAGCTGTGAGATTTATAATCTTTATTACTTGGCAGCTTCGTTATTTGCGTAAGACGATAACGAGACCAATGTATCATTATATTCGCCAGCATTAAATTAACTTACGTACATAATTTAATATCTCGTATTTGTCTTCCTAGCTTTTGATGCGCACCGCGATCGTTTTAACTTATCAGTATTTGAAACATTTTCGCGATTGATTAGCCGCTTTCCAAACAATTCAATTTTAACAGCTTAACCATCCTTAATGAATATGAACAAATTACACGATGCGAATCATGTCTTCGCCTTGATTTTGTTTTTGATTGTCGTAACATTGTCGCGTTGATACTAAATATTGTGTAAATGTTGTTACAGTTATCTCTCCGCTTAACGGTGAATCGTCTTTCATATGAAGAACCTCACAAATTTAAGGCTCTTTTATTACACTAGATCTCAGATGATATTAGAAGAAAATTCATAATAAAAATTCTTGCAAAGTATATTAATATGAAAATATATTTCAATAAAACGAAACTTATAATCCATAGAATCGACTTGTAAAATATACCAAAAACTCTCCTTTTGTTTTGTTAATTTCTTCTTGAAATAAGAAGATAGTTTTTGGTAATTTTATAAGTCTATTCTGTCAATTAAAAATGTTTTATTGAAAAATATTTCTATTCAAATATAATTTGCAAAAATATTAATTTTGTGCCTTCTCGTTTTTAACATCGTAATTGAAGTATAATAATAGTGAATGAACAGGAATCTTAATCAGTATAACAATCCAATGTGCTTTCTTCTAATTGCACATGTAATTTTCCATACAAAATAGAGTATTTGTTTATAATCTAAAATAAATGTGACAGTTTTCAAATACAGTGAAAATATTAATTTCTTGGCAAATTATATTTATTTTTTAACAGATATTTATATTGAATGTATCATAAAATCTTTAACGCTAATGACTTACTTAAAATTTCATGAATTTGTAAGTCATAACAATTGATGTGCAATCGATCAATGATCGATCGATATCTTATAAAAATCTTTTACAAGACATGGAGAAGTCGATTGCAAAATGGATTTAAAATTTATAATAAAATCCGCGCAACATTAAATCGTAAGAAGAAAGCAAAAGATAAATAAATACTCACAGAAAAGTTCGTTGCACTATCATTCTCAAAGCATGAAATGTTAAGATACAGTAAATAAGTATCAACGTTGACGAGTTGTTCGCACAAACAAACAATAATTTACAAAGGGTATGTAATGGAATTTTTGTATCACTCAGCACTTTTTTTTTTGACGCGATAGGTGTCGACCTAACAACGCACTCGCATCACGTGCGTTAATGCGATAGGTGTCGTATCAAGAATAGCAGTGCTGCTAATGAGAAAATAGATGCTGTATTCGACGTGTCAGCAGGTGGATAACTTAAACGGCTTAACATGTAATGAACATATTATGCGATAACAGTTGTGGAAATGCGATCTATACTCGCATGCAGTGATACATATTGCGATAATAAATTTTTCAAACAGTGAAATTCACAACGTCAGCCGGTAAGCGGACATCATGCTCACATTATTATAAGTTTTGGATTTTTAAAAGTAACTATAAAACGTAAAGATATTTAGTAATATTATTGAATTTGTGGCATTTTTTATTGTCTGTAATTAATAAATATTATATATTACCGTAATTTCAATTCAGATCAGACACCATAATGTTGAATTTTAAAAACATCATCGTGTATGTGGAAGTAACATTTGCATTAAATAAGAAACTTGCATTGAATATGATTAGAATCGAGTTATTTAACATTTTCTATATTAGTGATAATTTTTAACGAATAAATTAAAAATTAAAACAATGTAAAAATAAAAAAATCGAAAAAATATTAAAAAGTTCTATCCGACAATTTAATTCTAATAAATTTGTTTGTCAAATCTTAGCAAGAAAATATCCACAGAAAATTTAATTATAAAAATAAAATATGAGTATAACATAAGTATGATGTGATACAACACAAAAATATTATGTTTAATCCAACTATGATTTATTCAAAAGTTAATTGAAAGTGATTATTTAATGTAAAAATTATTCAATATGTAATGTGAGCAAATTAATTTATCTTTCGTAATTACGTTAACACATTTGAATCATAAAATTCATAAATCCATTTTTTGCTTCTTAAATTGCTTTAAATGGTTGAAATTTATTGTTTTTAATATTTAATCTGCACAAATGTATGCATTAAATTTTCAAATTGCGAGCTGCATTCGATTAAATATTGGACTAGCGAATCAGCGAATTGGACAAGTTTTTAGTCCACGCTATTGGTCCGTGTCTGTATATTTAGTCCAAAAAAGAGAATCTTCTTTATCGACCGAGTTTTCGCCATTAAATGTCAGTTTATCCCCTAAAAAACCTTCTCGCAAATTCCTGACCATACGCGCGCGAACGAATTCGTGGCGCTTTTATGAACGCGATCAGTGTGTAACCCTCTATCTGGTTAACGACGACGACGGTTGCACTGTGCACCCTCAAGAAAAGCGCATTTTACGGATTCGCCTGTCGGCGTCGGCTGGCATCGGCGATATTCAAATTCCGTGGCAGGACTGCAAGCAAAGGCACATCGGGACGACGTGATTAAGAGAACGTGGGACGCTGTTTTGCGTCGTCCAACCGCGAGTGTTTTGTAGATACGAAAATCGCCGCATCGTCGAAGACCCGATGTCAGGGATAGCGATAGCCAGGCTCGCTGAGGAGCGCAAAGCATGGAGGAAGGACCATCCGTTCGTGAGTTTCTGTTCCTCGTTGTACACGGGAACGCGCCATCGGTTTCCCGCTTGGTGCGCCGTAGAATCAGCAGGGCAGAACACTTATTACGTTACTCCGTCGTTACTCGTCGCGATTGTAAACAATGGCCCTGCGTCACTCGCGTGGCATTTTACACATCTCAAAAGCGAGAATCTACGATAAATTTTATTTGTTTTATCATAACCAACGTTTTTATTTGTATAAGCAATTTTTATCTTATCTGTAGAAAGAATTAAACTAATTGGTACTAAATTAATTAATTCTCTAATTAATGTATAATATTATAATATTAACAGTAAGACTGAATTATCATAAAATTGGAGAGAAATTTATTTTAGTGTTTAGAATTGATAAAAATTTTGTGTATATATTTAAATTTTTCCTGTAAATAATATAAGGACTATTTGTAGGGGTTTGTAGCTAGACCAACTAAAAATCCAGATGGTTCCCTTAACTTGATGAGTTGGGAATGTGCGATACCTGGAAAGAAATCTGTAAGTCAATTTTTTTCAAGTGTAGGTGACAAATATTCGTATTAAACTTGCGATTTTGCAGACTCCTTGGGAGGGTGGCCTGTACAAGTTACGTATGATTTTCAAAGATGACTATCCTTCAAGCCCACCAAAATGTAAATTTGAACCTCCTCTATTCCATCCAAACGTGTATCCATCAGGCACTGTATGTTTGTCACTTTTGGATGAAGAGAAAGATTGGCGACCAGCTATCACAATTAAGCAAATCCTCCTTGGTATTCAGGATTTATTGAACGAGCCAAATGTGAAAGATCCAGCTCAAGCCGAAGCTTATACAATATATTGGTATTTATGAGACATGTTCATCAGATTTTGAATAATAGTAATCTGAAGAATAATTGGGGATTTCATTTGCAGCCAAAATCGTTTGGAATACGAGAAGCGTGTTAAAGCTCAAGCCAGAGCAATGGCTCCACAGGAATAAGTCACAAGAATTGTCAACTCGACATATTTAAAATAAAATGTGAGAAAGATATTGTATGTGGATAACACATCATAAACTGATTCATAGCTCTTTATAATTAATCTTTTTTACGAGTAATTAATATATGTAACTAGTTAAGTAGTTCATGGTCTTAACGTTTATTTATCGAATATTGTCTTCAATGTGTATATTTTTCAAAATTTCAAAATGTAGCGTATACTAACGACAACATACGAAAATCGACATATAAATCACATATAAATTCTTTCGCACATAAATAATAATTCTTATTAATATTAAGAACCATGTTATAAGATATGTATACTTTAAGGCAGAATTATTTTTTGATCAGCTCTTTAATTTTTAAGTCTTACAAATAATTACTGATGTTATTTTTAAAACAGTGATATGAGAGAAATTAAAAATAGCTGCTATTAAATAAATATCTATCGTCTCAAGTTTCTCTATCAGTTCCATCTTTTTTTTTTAATATATGATAATACATTCGTAGGTTGACTAAATTTAAAGACTAAATTTATTAAGGCCCAAATGCACTAATGTCACTTTTGATTTTAAGTGAGATTTAAAACTATCCGTCTCATTTTAAAGCTAAAAAGAGACAGAGATAGAGAGTTTTAAGCGTTACTTAAAATCAAAGTTGATGCAATCGAGCCTAAGTAATATACAATTCTCAAAAAAAAAAAAGAAAAATAATTTCAACTCATTAGAACAGCATGATAAAAAAAGATGATCGTTGCACTCATTGAATCCTAAATAAGTATGCAAATATTCCAAGAGAATCGTTTTCCACATTGGTGAACACACATTTGACACTTGAATCGATGCGACGGTGAGTAAAGTAGTTTAACATAATGTAATACTCCGTTATCGATTTTCGCTGTTGTCTTATCAGTACAGCTGTTTTGTGCAGACATGACGCATCACTTTCGAAACATCTCGAAGTAATCTTTGGATAAAGTCCATTAAATGTCGATGAGTTGTCACATTGTCAGTGTATTGGATATCGATGAGAGTATGTAATATGAGAGTGGAGAGTATTACAGTGGAATAAATTAGTAGCATTCCAGTACTGCACAGTACCATTTCGTAACACAATGACGAGGATTGGAAATTGCGCGTTCCAAAAATTCAACGCTGGAATCATATTTACGTGCGTGCTTGGTCTCATTTTTTCGTACTATGCTTACGCCGTGGAGGTCAAAAAGGATCAAGATGATTCGTACCAGCCGCTGTGCGACATTTCCGAACATATAAGCTGCACTAAAGTATTTATGACCGAGTAAGCACGCTCAAGTATTACCGAATCAGTGCAATGGCACTTGAACGCGACTCACCATGTTCAAATCTTGAAACATAATTAAACGAACTTACATCTTCATTCTATGTATAATTCATTACGATTTTTTTTTATTTACTTAATAGTTCCCTTCGTTACATGAACATGGACATTGTTCAGAATCAGTGAATAAATGCAACTGTTGAAGCTTCGCTAATTTTTCAAAAACACAGTATAGATTTTCTCATTGACTTTCTCATGTTTCATAATATATTGGGTCATCTAAAAAGATATATGACCATCAACACACATCTAATGACAAAAAACCGCGGATACTTTTTAGATGACCCAATATATATAACGCGATGTCCATATATACAATAAAAATATTTTATTAATATTTGCATGTTTTGTATTATGCTCAATTCACAGGTCATGAACAATAATTACATTAAGCCGCTATTTCGTTTGTCGTACGACAAATTTTTTCAAGCTTGTTGATTGACTATAAGATTGAGATCCGAGATCTCTATCTATACACATTTAATTGTCATATGATAAAATGCACAAATGAAATAGCACTTTTAGTTATGTTCCACTTCACGAGTGATGCGAGTGCAACATGATTATCATTTTATTCTATTATTTAATATTCGATGAGCAATAAAAATAAATTAACATATGTCCCAGTGAGAAATGATAATGAAATCGACATTGAAGCGATGTCGATTCGACATCTATTTCATTGGCCTTTCCATCGAGGGTTTAATCCGGATCAGAATGTAAGAACCAACCAACTACAGTCGAGTATTCCCCTGTTACAGTCGAACGACAAGGGAATCGACTGTGTAGTTGGGTCCTCTATGGAAACTAGGCCATAGTCATTTCTCACTGGGGTGCATCATACATGAGAAACGCACTCTAAATAATTACAAAGAAGATTGCTGCTGAATAAGTGCTATATAAAGAAATTTTAACAAATCCAGGAAATTATTTCTCATTGTTTACCACGTGGAATGTAAAGTTCTACGAGTTACCACATATTTTTCGTAATAATAATCATAAGACGTGACGTAAGAATCAGTCAAAAATTAAAAAATAAAAAATTTTCAGTTCTGATTGGCTAATTCTTATGACACGTGTTACAGTTATTGAGTTATGACCACGGTACAGACTCTAGCATAATGCATAGTACATAAAGGAATTAACCAATTGAAATTCTTTATTTCTATGGAATGGGAGGAAAGTCTGTGCTGCGGTCTTTATCCGTGTTATGGAAAGTATGTACAGTGAAGTCCTAAAGTTTGGTCTGTTCGTATTGCTTGCACTTGTTACATTCAGCATCTTCAAGGTTAGAGAACCTTAAAGGAAGAGAGTAGTTAGGGTATATCCACATAAATTTGCATAGTGGATATACCCTTAAAATCGCAGCACAGACTTTTGCATAACGCATAATGCGAATCAACTAATCAGAATCTTTCCTTTCCTCCTATTCCATGGAAAAGAAGAATTTAGATTGATTGATTCTCTTAAGCTCTATGCATTATGCATTATGCAAGAGTCTGTGTTACGGCTTAATCATAAATTAATATAATTAATCATAAATTAGAAGCCAGAAGGTATAAATTGATGACTGCGATTGGTCAATTTTTAACTTCTGACTTCTGATTTATGACTAACGGCTTATTATAGAAGATTCGTCACTCCTACAGAGTAACAATAAACATGACATGCGTATTCAGTCATAATTGCTGTCTTCAATCACACAAATTTTTAAGCCATATACTGAGATTAATAAAACGTAACGAAAATAAAACTTAGATAAAATATAAAATGTCATGACGTGAAATTGTTTAAAATTGATAATTGTTCATGAATAATCGTAAAATTATTTCAGACAAACATATACAAAATAAGTAGTAAAAAATTAACGTGTCGCATTTCAGGTATGGCAAAGGATTCGGATTGTTTCCAAAAGATTCTATGTTTAATGTCCGAAATCCTATATATGGTTTAATGTTTTATACTCTGGTCGCAATTTTAAGTATGTATTCAATCATTGTCGCCTACGTGTCTATACATATGTCTTACATAACAATAACGAAATCATTTTTTTCAGGTATGATTAATAATTACATCTTTTCGGCTGCAACTGTTATTCTGGGAATAATCTCTAATATTTTTTCAATATATTTAAGCCATATATTATATTTACAGAGAGATATCTGCGTTGTATGTATTAGCACGTACATTATAAACGTAATGATTACATTTTTCGCTATCAAAAAATTCCGACAATTCCAAAAATTAGCCTCATACGATATGTATAAAAAGGTGAAATAAAAATAAAAAAGAATTATATTTTTTGCGATCGATCAAAAAATATTTTAATAATTTTTTTCTATTCTCTATTTTTGTAGAATTTATACAATGTATGGTAAATATCCAACAAACAATTAATATAACATAGATATATAACAAGTGTATTTATGTATATATTATATTCGTTGTTTGCTAGATATAATATAAATAATTTAAATAAACATAAATTTTTAAATATTTTTAACGAAAGAGATTAAAGTACTTTTTTCCATTATTTTACATTATACAATCGAATGAAATCGTGCAAACAATCGAATGAATTTTTCTGTGTTATAATGTAATATTTTAAATAAAAGATATAGCAATTAATTAATATGCATAGATAAAAGAGAAAACTTTTGCTTATATTCATATTATATTATTGTAAATCAACAATATGAACAATATAAATAACATCGCATCTATATGAAACTCGTACATATATTCATTTGTTAATAAAAAATATGTGCGGTAATGGATGTACAGAATGTTTTATGATGCTTTTTTTTTCAAGATTATCGTTTTTATTAACATGATTGCTTATGAAAAAAATTCTTCAGATTGCCGAAAAAAATATTGATAAAATACAAGAAATATACAGTAATGAAGAGCATTCTGTACATTATATACCAAGAATAGTTAAGGACCTTCACATATTCTGTTTTATGAGAATGTCAGTAATTTAAATGTCGAAAATATACGTGGTACGTAAACATTAAAGATATAAGAAACATTCTGTAATATTTCAAAAGATTTAGCGATTGTTATCAATTCTACTTTAATAATTCTATGTAATCAATTTCTAAGAACGTAGCTTTTACGTTCTTGACTTCGATAGATCTAATTCACATTAAATAATTTATGAACACGTATATGTCATACAGTAGAACTTATATTTATTTTGTCTACGCGAAAATAGTCTGTAAAAACGGTTATAAATTGTAATTGCAACACTTGCAATTTCTTGAGTAACTTCCTGGATGTTGTGTATTTATAATCATTACAATTACTTACGTCAACAAAATTCCATATTAAAATACATAATGAAGTGATAATATGGTAATGAAGTCAATGGTTTGATAAGAATTAGATAAATGAAAAAAATTTATGCAATTAAAAGGGAAACAAAAAAGCGGGAGATTTGAATGATAGCAAAAGAGAGGAAGTAAAAAAAGATATAAGAATATTAAAAGCACGTATGCAGCAGAATCTATAATAGATGTAAAATACAAATGTATAATTCATTACTTTATCAGATCAGTAGTAGTTTTTTTCTAAATTTTTATATCGCTTTGAGATAAATTAAAATTTTTATTTATAATATATTCACGAAGAAGGATAGTAATAACGTCCGAAAGGATATACAGTTTATTACGTCGCTGACCTTAATATTTGCCGTCTCTTAATAAATCTTTGTTACTACGGCTAATGCTGGCAAGAATACCAGGACTCTTCAACGGCGGCGTTTCGTCTAGGCGATTAAGGTGCAAATTGGAGGTATACGGTACACGGATTGGTACGTCGACGCCATTCTTGCTAGCCTCGACATTAAAGCTTTTGCTGCGTGACAGCGATGACTTGTACGTACGTTCGGGTTTCGGCGGAGCCTGAAGAGTACTGTAAACAGGCGGCGCGTTCACTTTCGGCGACATGTTCTTGATCGATATGTTGATCATGCTGCTGTGATGTTGGCTCATTTTGCCGTATCTGCCGATGTTCGGTGCCTGGTATCGTCTAGTCTGAGAACGAGCTGACTGTTCACCACCGGTGGAATGCAGGCTTCGCGGTAACGTCTGGGTGGTCCGAAAGTGCTCCTCCCTCTCTTGATCGCTAACCAGTCTGCTAGTGGACTTGCTAAATCTGCCGAGGGAGCTGGAGGCGACGCTGAAACGCGGTTGTTTCCGAAAGGTGATTGCCTAGTCGTGCGGATTTTTTCTCTCGTCGACGTTTGCGGCGGCGACGATCGAATGAGTCTATCGAGTCATATATGTTCGATTCCCATGCGTCCCTTCATGCAGCCTTCACCCTAAATCGAAGCACGGAGTCGCCGAATTTCGACTTAAAAGATATACCCAAGCGGCCCGATTTAGATTTCGCACTTTGGCTCCTGAAGCTTGTACAACTAATTCCGTCTTTTTTTGGCGATCGAGCAACATGAGATAGCAAGTTCGTCGTCTATTTCATGATGACAAATTCTGACCGAGAGATAAATTTTTACTGACAATGAAAGCGTGAAATATCTTTGGAACACTATGTCATTCCTGATAAACGTTTCATGCATAGATAGTTATGTAGAGTGTCTCGGATTAAGTTAAATCCCTCACACTTTCAATTCACAATCGATTTTCCCTTGGTGAAAATCAGCCATCATTCATAATTCTATAATATTTTTCCTTTCGTTTTTCTATACCTTTAACCAAAATTATTTACTTTCAAAATAAATCTCATCTGATCAATTTCTGTAACTTAATCCATACTCTCTTATGAACCTTAAATAGTAACTCTTTACCAATTGAAAAAAACCAAACAAGAGAAAGACAGAAGATTTGTAATATTTTACAGAAGACACCACTGTACAGTGTTAAATAAAGATGTGAAGATATTTCAACAAGCGCAATAACGATAAGGGGCAGTAAGCATAGCGATCTAATTTAATTAGGGGATAACTTATCAGTCAAAATTTGTCTCGCTCTCATTATGTCGAGTACTTCGATTACCTGTGCTCGGAATCTACGGCAATTTTACCGCAGCCGCGTGGTCTTCCGTGTCGCAACCGGTCTCGGTCGTTCTCGTATCCTTTTTCACGTCCGTAGATACTGCCGCCGAAAGGATCCTCGCCCAAGTAATACCTCTGTAGGGGTGGTGGCGTTGATTCGCTACGTTGCCATTCCTGGATACCATGATCAGACGTCCTGATGATCTTCGTGACTTTGCTCGACGTGTTAGCGTTTCGCGGTGATCGCGGTGGTCTTTCCGGTGGTTTGTCCTCCATCGTGTTCCTTTCGCTGACGAAAGGAATGTTCCTGTCGATTACGTTGTATTGTAAATAGGTCGGGCCATTGTCGTCGGTCTGCGTCAATTGTGAGGTAGAACCACCGCTCGTCCGTTTATTCTTTCTCTCTGTACTAGCTGAACGTAATTTGCCTACCAGCTTCCGAAAGGATTCGCCGATTTTATACTTAGGTCCATGACCTAGAATAGAACAGATAATAATATTTAGTACATACACAACAATAATAATGTTGATAATATTCCTCTTTAATGCTCTCATAATATTCGACTTTTATTTTTAGTTTGTCTTTAATCGGCTTTTATTTTATTACTTATTTGTTATCAGATTGTTTTCTAATTTGATCGTAATTATAGTTTGATTTAATTAAAAATATTTTTAAAGTATTTACACTCATAAATTTCTAATTTAAATATTTTTTTAATTTATTGCTTCTATCAATTACCCTTAGATGCTCGTGAACTATCTGACTTTTTTTCTTCGCGACTATTTATCGGCGATTTCGGCGAGATTGATCGCGATCGTGGCGAGGTATTTCTATAATTGCGTTCGGGTGTTTGTGCTTGAACGTCGCGATTACGACTCTCCCAAGTTCTTTGTACCACGTGTACCGGACTTGAAGTACGACCTGACGGGAGCTCGTTCGAACTGATTTTTTCTTCAGATTTTGCCCACTATAAAAAGATTACAAGAATAATTCAGTATGTATCAATAATTCGTATAATATAGCGAAATACAAAATGAAATATTTTATCAGTTTAAATCAATATAAATTAATTTAATAAACTATATATAGATTAATTATAAATTATTATAATATATAAATTATTTGTAATAAACAAAAGAAAGAAAATTTGCAGAATATAAACTAAACTTCCATTGCATTTAATATTATGTATTTTCTTGTAAATTTTAAAACTATTGCTATTAGCATAATGAAGAGGAATGTTCGTACTTGTTCTTTCGATCTTCGACGTATCGGTGGGGAAGGTGTACGTTGTCGTTCTTCGACAGAATCTTGATAATCACGTCGGAACGATTCGTAAGTTTTCGAATAAGATGATTCAACTTGATTTCTCTTATGTCCGTGGACATGTCCGTTGGTACGTGAAGATTCCACATATCGAACTGGAGAGTTTGATCGCGCATGATTTTGCTTCTCTGTGTAGAATACATTATATTCACATTTCCATTTCATGTATCATTTGATTTATCGAAATAAAATTGTTTTACACAATGTGAGTTTAGGATTATCTTCTAAACTTTACGTAGTAACATATCTTTTATCTCTCTTTTTTTTAATTTTACAAACTTATATTACATTTAAAAACGATGTTATATGAGAAGGTCAAATGTTTTAAAGATTTTAAGGAACGATTCCTCGTATATTAATTCAAGATAAAAATTTGTGACCACATGTTCGAAATGATGTAGTTTTGAAGATATCCTTATTTTTAGATTTATCTTTAAAAAATAAATAATGCATGATTTCAAAAGATGAGTTTTCATTTTGAAGTTTATACAAAGTTTCATCTCAAAATAACGTCCAATAATGGTTCTAGAAATTAAAAAAAAAAAAACAAAATTTTTCCTTCAATTTTGACATTTTATTTTTGAAAAACTAAGCTTGTCGAACGTATGGTCTCTCATATATATGTGAAGCTTTCTTTTTAAATTACTGGAAAAAGTTAGTCCTTAAAATATGTTAGAATACTTAAATTATAATACATGAAATTAGAAGAAAACTGTTTTAAGAAAGAGAATTAATATTGAATTAATATTAAAAATTATTTTTCCTAATAAATTATTCCTTTTTTCATACCTTTTCCTTGATATCGTTCCGACCATTCGCTAATTCCATGAAAATATCCTGAAGGCGAATTCGTCTCTCGACCACGTCGCTGATTGCGGTTGAAACTTACATTTTGATAATCGCGCTCCTTGGGCGTGCAAGATTTCATTGTGACATTGATGTAGCTCGTGTTAGTGCTGGTTGGAAGAGGAGAGTCATCGGCATCAAGAGATCCGTGGGAAGAGCGCGAATCGCTGCCGAAATGGCTTTCCAACCACTTCGATGTTTCGAATTTTCTCGCCTCGTCCTCTTCCTCGAGGTCCAACGGTTTTTTCGTCAAGGCATCTTTTCGAGCGGCATCCGAGAAGCCTGTAATAATTAGCAATCTTTTGAAGAAAAGGAATATGTCAATAGAAAAAAAATATAATATACGATAATATACGATATCTCTATATGTTCTTCAATAAATTTTAATTTTTCAAATCGAGATAATAAAAATAATTTTTCTTGAATGTAAATTTTTTTTCAGTAAAGATAACATCTAGCAATCTTGAGGATAGAAGGCAATTCAGTCAGTTTTATCAGCTGTCATATTTTATACTTCAGAACACACCACACTCACAATTATCTGTTGATCATCTGGTCAACCATTCGTAAATATGTAGAACGCAACGATAGAAAATCAATAGAGAAAGGCCACGTACCGGGATATTTGTGAAAACGAGTCGTCCGCATGCCCGTCGGTGATGGTGACCAGTCGCCTATTCGTTCTCCTTCGGTTGTCTCTGCAACGTAGCGCATTTCTCGGCCGACTCTCTCGCCGGCCGAGATGTAGTCCACTACGTCTTCTTCTCTTTTCTTGATATACCTTTGCGAGCTTTCCTTCTTCGTTTCAGAGGCGTCGTCGTCGTTCCTCCCGTCGTCCGGAACCTCGTCGTCTTTAATCTGAAGCAAAAACGATCGCATTACTTGCAACTATTTCTCCGACTTGTGCGCGCGCGCGCGCATGTGTGTGTGTGTGTGTGTGTGTGTAATATTATATTTATATAAATATATTAATTATATATTATTATATATTTTACATATATAATTAAATAGTCTTACAATTCGTAAAACTGGCGAAGGTAAACCAAGACAAGAAGAGAAAAATGACGGTAGGAGTATATTAACCAGTTTTTGCTGCTGCGACTCACCTCTTCGTGCTCGACCGTTCGCTTCTTCTCGGTAACGATTAATCCGTCAGCCTTCAGTTCCTTTTTCTCCAAGGTCTTCTCGGTGTCGATGACTTTGTTTGACCTAGTCGTGTGCTGGATGACCCGTGGACCAGACTGTGACGACAATTGTTTCGAGGATTCGGCAAGAGCGACTCGTAAGTCACCCCTATTGTTACGCACCGCCTTCTGGTATGCCTGAAAATCAGAGTGGATTCGCGCATTGACTCTTGTCAGACATTCGCGATCAATTATTGTCTCTGCAAGTCATTTTTTTTGTATACATAATAAAACCAACTGGTTTGGCCGTGCCTGTTTTCTTCCTTCTTTCACGAAAATATTGATTTATGAATTTATGCTTTTAAAAAGGAATATGACGTTCAACTACATAATAATATAGAGCAAATACGTGCAATCTGTACTAATAAATATGTAAAGATATCACAAATGAGAAAGGAAAAGTAATAAATAAAAAAATTATCGCGATCTTTGTAAATTTTAATTAACGGATGTTTCACATGCAAAGATCGTGTATTTAAATTATTTAAACTTAATAACAAAAAATCAAAGCCAATAATAATTATTGGTTACTGTTCTTGTGACCTGTCTAAATAAATCAAGCGTGACAAGCCAATAAATAATTGCCAATAAAAATACGGCATGTTTCAATATTTGTGTTAATATTGAATTGTCTTAATCATTGATTTCATTTTAAGTTCTCTCTCTCTCTCTCTCTCTCTCTCTCTCTGGTTTTTATTTTTATATATTTATAACTTTCTTTATTAAAATATCACATTTGACAAGTTCGACATTCGCAATACTGATTTCCTTAACTCTCAAACTCTGAAATCTATATATCAAATAGTTATGTATTAAGAAATCTATGCGTGTCTTCTATCGACCAATCAAATTAAATATTATACAAAGTGCCGGTTAAAATGATGACACGACACGATTCTTCGACCTTCAACGAAAGAACAGCTCAGTATTCGAAATGCCGAGGACGATGACGAGCATGACAAACCACGATAGACATCGAGAAAACTGTTTGCCGTATAAAACTATTTAATTTCAATCAAACTTCATATCTGATCTATTTGCAGCGGGCGCGTTATGCATTTCAAAATTAGAAACTCTATAACTGCAAGGTCTGACTAATTTTGTCAAAACAAGAATAAGAAGGAAGAATATGTATACTGTTTCTTATATATGTATATTATTTCTTTTTATATATGCTATCTCATTCTTATTTATATTATCTTACTCCAAGGACATGCAAAAGTCAACAAAAAATTAAATGACTTTATTTTCATTTTTGACGTTAACAAATAAATTTTATAACAAAAAATCATCATGTTTTTATATTCTCTCGAATAGATATATGTTTCTTGGGGTTCTTTCTAACTTAACAAATTTGACAAAAAAAAAAAAGGACTCAAACTCCGTTATAGGGTCTCTATTCGAAACGAGTCCACGATCCGTTGCAACTTTGATAGAAATACGACTAATTTATATCTTAATTATACCTGCAACTATCTCGGTAAAGAGACACGATACGTCCAGCCGGCACGTCGCGCGTCGCGTCCGATCAAGCGGCGCGTGTCTTTTTTCCGCGGAGCGATTGTCCCGGCATCTCTCGCGCGAGGACGACTGGTCCTGTTCGATGACGAGTAATCTTGAGACTATAAGGGAGCAGGATCACACAGAGACAGAAGAGCGGACGAATTCCAAGGAATGCTCGCGAGGACACCCCCGCGGCGATTCCACCGACGAGAAGGAGGCGCGGGACACTATCGCGGTCGGATTTGCGGCTGATCGCATCCGCGGTCCAGAGACGTGCGGAACAGCTGCTGAGACTGTGGCTGCGGCTGCGGGCATCTCATGGCTCCTTCATCGCCATTGGGTGAAGGGAGTGCAAAATCGAGAGATCATCGACTTCCACTTCTTGAGATCCCTTTCCCTCTCTTTCTCTCTCTCTCTCTCTCTCTCTCTCTCTCTCTGTCTCTCGCTTTTCACGATCCCCTTCTCCCTCGCGCTCCCGTTCCCTCTCTCGCTCGACAGTGCCAGTTCGCCGTTTAACTCCGTCCTTCCTTCGTCCTCTTCGTCCCAGAACGATTCGACCTCCTCCGTCCTGAATCGTTCATGCGCGCGAGAGCGTCTCCTCTCGCGTATTATACCTGTTGCCCGTCTTTCGCAATCCGGGTATCCCCGCGAGGTTTGTGAAACCTCGTTGCGATTTACGTGGATGCGATTGCATGCCGCATAGATTGGTATCGGAGGAGAGTGAGAGCTTTTTTTTTCTCTACACCGAGCTATTCTCGGACTTGTCTAGCTGCGCTAACACGCGTTAAACGTGTAGTGTGTTATTATGACACTTGGAACGTGACGATCTATCGCTATTACCACGTCAAACGACATAAACGTCAAACTACATTCTTAATTTATAGTTTGTGATTATAGCACCTCAGGAATGAACGCGATAATAAAATGGCTATCAGAAATTGACGTGTTATATTTCAGAAGAGTAAATGGACACTTTATATCATTTTATTTTAAAAACGGATAAAACGAAGAGAGAATTTTAATTTGAATATAAGACATTTCATAGTTGTAAAATTTCTAAAAACTTTTAATTTACAAAAGAAATTAAGTACGAGAGAAACTTTTCAGGATTGTGATATTTTTATCTTTCTCGGTATGCATTTTTGAATTTATTATCATCACTTTGTCAAATGACATAAACGTCAAGATAACATTCTGGATTTACAGTTTATGATTAGATCAGAAATATAAACGAATTTATTATTTCAGAAGTAAATAAATATATATTGTTTTAAAAATGAAATAAAATATAGAGAAGATTCTAATTTAAATGTAAGCTGTTTCTCGATTGCTATCACGATAAAGTATCTAAAATATTAGCTAGATACAAATCTGAATTGTTGAATATTGCTATAAAAATAATTATGTAGTAATTCGTGCGCGGATTCTCACTCGAGTGCTTCTCTGATATCGTGTCCTTGTTTAACATTCAGTTAAATAATAAAGATGGAGTGATATCTGGGTGGCACTCGGATGGAAACTGAAGCCTAGCAGGATGGTCAAATTAATTACTAGAATGTCAAAACTTTTTGCTTACATTGTGCTTGAATTCATAATTATTTTAACAATCCAAGAAAATTATTACTTTCAGATTTGTATCTACCAAAATTTTTAAATACTTCAATAAAGTCGTTTTGCGATGCATATAAAAGTTTTAAAAATTTTTGCAGAAAGAAATTAAGTACACAGGAAATTTTTCAAAGCTATATTATTTCTATTTTTTTCCGGTATACGTTTTATCAGGTATTTATACAAAAAATCGTAATATCAGTCAAAAATGCGACATTAAGACCTCTTGTAGAGAAACATCGCTCAAACATGCTTTCTTTCAGCAGCTTCGCGAATGATTTTATAACGATGACGAAGTGAATATCTGGTGCCATGCTGACCGAATCTCACTGAGCTTGAGACACGTCGACACGGCGCGGCGAGCTATCAGACGGGACGAGACAACGAGACTCTCTGGAGAACAAACAGCGCGACCTTTTCGCGGCGACGCCAGGAAAGAGAATGCGCATACAGTCGTGTACCCCGTGGCACGCACAGGTGGAATTCAGATGGTGGGTGTGTCGCGGGTGCATACTGGATATATACCTCGTCCGAGATATCTCCCAACTGCTGACGATCCTCCGTCTCAAGTCTCTCCTCGATCTCCTCGCGGCTCCTCACCACCGTCTCATTCAGCTCCTTTTGCACGATATTACCGCCATTTCCGGTCACAGTACCACCTGCCGCCGGCCGCCAGTCGACCTCCTGCGGTTGATCCCCGGTCGTGCGTCTCTAAACACCGGTTCGCGAACCAGTTAAAAGCACGTTTTCTTACACGCGGGCGCGTAATACTACAAAGCAAGCCGATTCTGATACGCAAATGTATGCAGAATCAATGAACAATGGACGCGTGTCGAAAAGTAAGAAAGAAGAAAGTTCTGTTCGACTGTTACTCGTTACGTTTCTCCATCTCGTAAAAATTATTACGACTAACAATATGCAATCTGGGATTTTGTTGATTATTACAAGGGAGGGTAGAAATGATGAAAAATGTGAGATGTAAGAATTTAGTATTATTATGAGTAGATTTTAAGAGGTCGTGATTATTTGTGCCATTTATGTTTATTGTATATTACACATGGAAATAACGATCTTGCTAAAGTATTTAAAAATTTAGTTAGCTATAGATCTGAAAATAATTTTGTTGGACTATGAAAATAAATTTTTAGTTGCTGGTCCAACAAAATGATTTTCAGATCTGTATGTTTATTTTTTTAGATATTTCAGCAAACCTGTTCTTCCTATTAAAAATCCGTATTAAATTTATCTTGAGTCATTTATATTTTCTAAATTCTTTGAAATTTCATTCTAGAGAATGACAATTGAGTCTTAAAATAGAGTGACTCAATCTTCATTCATTGATTTGACTCTTCAGAGTGAGATTCATTCTAAAAGTCTTAGAAAATATATTAACGAACTAAGATATTTGACAAATATCGTGCGAACCTCCTGAGTCGTATGTTCCTGTTGCTCGACGTCTTCGGTTGTGTTTGTGGTGACAAGGGGTCCAGAGTCGACGACGACCTCTCCGTCTTCGAGAACAACCTGTCGCTTCACCCTCGTCTCGATCTGCCGCGTGGTGGTAATCTCCTTTTTCTTGCGGGTCTCCCATTCTTCTGAAAGACGGAAGCGGGCATTCTTTCAGCTTCACTCGCAATACCGGCATTGTTTCGCAAAACTAATTTCTCGGTCCCAAACAAACGGACATAAAACGCGGATGATGAGTCGACGATGGTGACAGGGAGAGGCCTTTATGCCTCTGTCGACATTACTGTCAACTATCGCACCTTTGCAAGCACTTCTGGCTACGCCGAAGGAGCGACATAACAGTTATATACTTCGAGTAAACAGTTACTTTTGTAATATTTGTCGCGATATTTGTCAAATAAAAAAAAATGAAACTGATAGAAAAGAGTCTTTACTTTTCCAAAATGCTCAATTCACAATATCTAATCTTTTGTTTGAGCGATAAGATGAAGATTTGGCAGATATAAATTCACTTAGATACTAAAACTTTTCGATCATATATCTCTTGTAGTATCTTAGTCTCTTTCGAGTTTTATTGTTAGTGTATCTCGAAAATATGTTCTTGGAAATTCAGAAAAGATATTCTAGCAGAATAGTATTTTATAAATAGACTGACAGTGCATAGAATATTTATTTACTATTTCACATTTATCATTCAAAATATTTAATGTTCTTTTTCTTTTCTTTTGATTATGATGAATTAATAACAGTATTAATAGCGGCAGTAAAAGTCTTAATAAATTTTCAGTTTGCACGCTAGCAGTATAAATGGCCTACAGATCATTTTCGTTCGTAAATTAATATTTTTGTTCGAGGAATTTACCTTCTTTGATTAATGCCACGGAGTTCTCAGGGTCAACCTGAAAAAGGAAACAATACGTATGTAAATCCGCCTACGAGCGAGACCATCGAAGATGCGATTCCTTTTGGCTAAGGACATTCTGGGGAAGTTACGTATCACGAGAAGTACGTCTACTGCAAATAACTTCGCCTTAACCGCTTTCTTACTCCATGTTACACGCGACTAAACTTCTGACCGACACCCGGCAGATTCCGATCCGACAGGAATGTTAACGCGGAGTAAGATCATTTGCAAGAACGACTCTGATGAATAAATGCGTGAGTGATTTGCAGGAAATTATGTCCGACACAATTATATGAATTACAATAATTCAAGAATAATTAATCAGAAAAGAATAATTAATCAGAATATTTAAGGTGCTGAAACATTTATGGCTGTACGAAAATATTATTGAGAAGAGCCATTAATTGTATACAGAAATTCAAGTAATTAATTGACGAATTTTATTTATCGAAGTGTGTATAAATAATTTATTCAATAAATGCCGATTCAATCTACCATTCGCCGAATCTATCTTTTATTCATTTTTTTATTCGATTTCTGTGTTAATTTCTTAGATTTATTTTTTAGATTTATTTTACAGTTTTTCATTCTCTCTCTCCTTCTGTCTATTGTACTATTTAAATTTATATAATCAACAATTAAAATATCGTATGTCTTTATACTAATTTGTTGTTTGTTTTTACTATATAATTATATAGTTTGAATCAGCATGATTAAAAAGTTTTAAAAAATAAAAAAAAATTTCATAAAAAAAGGATATAACAGATTTGCATAACAAAAATATTAGTACCTATAAAAAAATAATTACATTTTGGTTCAAATAAACCGGAACAGACCAGTAAAATTAAATAATTCATTATTTTATCAATATTTCATATATTAGAGTCGAAACGTCTATGTATTGCTTTAGAAAAATTTTTATTACTCATTGTCTACACCGCTAACTCTCAATTGTCCTCATTATTCCAGCACTTGTTCGTATATTAGAGTTTTTGAATATAGGAAATGTAGGCGCGAGAATGTGAACTCTGAAGGAGAAACGCGTGAGTAATGCATTCTGAAGAGATCGGAGAAAATGTTACTTACGATAATAGAGGAATGGGTATTCGTTGGTGGACGGGCCTCGTATCGGCGTGTCGAAATCACCTCCATCATTCGATCATGTCTGCTACGTGGTCCTGATGTTCCTGTTGATTATTCAGTCTGTCGTTGCAAGAAGGAATTCAGCTAACAGACCATGAGCAATAATGTTTCTTCTCACGCTCTGTTACAATCGAAATAATAATTAATTTATATAAAAACTATTCAAAAGCTGAAAATAAAAGTACTATTGGTCTTGAACGTTTCGGTCAGCAATATCTTTTTCAATTAAACGATATCACTTTTATATTAATCAAAGTAAGCGTGAAATATTTTAATTGAGAAAGGAGGAAATTTCAAGAGAAAATAAAAAAAATTATTTACCCTCTTGATGACCCAAGTAAGATAAAAAAAATCTATCAAACACAACGTAATGTATTTTGACATCAACAGGGCTACAAAATAATTAATCAAAAATTACTTTTCTTTCAATCACGATTCATTTTAACATCATTTTAACGTTATAATGAATCATGATCTATTAAATTGTTCTGCTTGGGAATCATCTTATGTAACATTAAAGATCTTTGAAAAAAATTAAGTTTAATATTACAACACTTTATGTCTAACACTTTATGCGTCAGATCTGAGAGTGACGCTAAGAACACCACGGTCAATTCCTTCGATAATACGGGATTCGATTCAAGATATTAGTCCTGCCGCCGCGAGCGCGCCATCCTTCTTTTCATTCTTCCGCTACGTCGACGCACATATGAGGAACACGCAGCTCACGGAGGTGTAATAATTCATCGGGAAGCTCTCTTTGCGTAGAGAAAGAAGCCGAAGGCCGCGGTGGCACGCGGGCCTGTGGTCGCGACCACCTCGCGATGGTACACGTGATACGATATCGAGATGGCTAAAGACACCACGTACGGCCGGTTGCTCTATGCCCTATATCAATGGCGTAAGTGACTTCTCTCACAAGCATGAATCCTTGATCGCAGAGCTCGCGCGGATTGAGCTGTCTGTTTCATCCGAAAGGATAATGACGCGCAATTGAGGAACAATTAATTTCTCGCCGCGGCTCTTGAGATTATAATTTCATAGAAACTGCAAAAATTAAATACTAGCAGTAGAATGAACGAATTGTTCTTTTATTAAGAATAACAAAAAATACTAGACGAATAGTTGAATATTATAATTCTCTGGAATAGAAAAATTGTAAAAGTTTATACAAGATTTTTTTCTAATTGCGGTTAATACTGTAATTGGAGTATAACATGGGAAGAACGATTTTTGCTGAGAAATATCTAAAAATTTAAATAGGTGTAGACCTGAAAATAATTTTGTTGAATCATTAAAATGATTATATAGAAAACTCAAGCATGATGAGCAACAGTTTTAACATTCAAGCAACTAGTTTGAACGTTTTAAAATTATTTTGATAGTCCAACGAAATTGTTTTCAGTTCTGTATCTAGTTCAATATTTCAGCAAAAGTTCTTTTTGTATAATAAATGCCAATATATACAGATTACGTATTACATTTCAAGTTCTAACTATATATTAGATATTAAGCGCTCAATTGGACCGTCTCAGTCGTCGCTTCACTACGAAAAGTTTCACGAATGGAACAATTTAATCCATTTCAAAAAGAGCTTTGCCTACGCCTCTGAATATTTGCGTCCTTGCGGTTGGAATTACGCACGCATTCTCCCCACCTCAGACTCTGGACAGGTATGTATAAGTATTTAAACTTTTTTTATCTTTTAGGATCTATGGTCATAAAGTGTGGTTTCAAACTACATATTAAATGTGTTTAATGTGATTTTTAAGTACTTTATAGTCTGCGGTATATATACACAGTCCACTCGTCGTATAATTTCTTAATGATACTTAATTCATTTAACGTTGTTAATTACAAGTTCTTCAATTGCATTACGTTTATTTTATTGTTTAATAATATAAAACGAAATTCAAGAAATTTTAATAAGCAAATCGATTTTTATAATAAATTAAATTTTATAATAAAATAAATATTTCAACACGCTCGACGCATCATATACATGTGAGAGTAAGAATTATTTCATAAGCATGTTTAAAAACATTCCTTTGTTTCTCTGCTTTCTTGCCATTTCAACGGAGGTCGTAAACGCGTCAATAAACATATCTCATGAATAGATCTAAGAGGACAATTATGCACTTTGCATTGACAACATACTTCTTTGGTAATCCGCCATACAACCATGTTAGTCTCACCTTATTGGATATGTGTGTGACGTCAGAGATGCGTCAGCGTATAAAAGCGAATAACTCGAAAAGTCCGTGACATTTTACGCACTTTGTCTAGGGCAGGATAAACTCGTTAGAGTAACAGTAAAAAATTCACTTAAGGAATAACATAAACATCCTTGACAGTAATAAGTCATCATAATATCATTAAATGGCTCATTATTATATATTTTAATAGAAAGTAGTAATTTTATTATTTTTTCCATCCATAATCGAATTGTCAATGGATTCTGACACGTTTTTTTATGAAAATAGATTAAATAATTGATGCAGCAGATGTAATATATAAATTCAAATATGAACGTAATTCTTACAATTTCATTCATAATTTCATGATATTCGCGGATATCAAACAAACAGATTTTTACCCAACTTTTCATAATAAATTTTTGACTATATTGAACCTAAAATTTTGTCATACAGAGTTAATCTGTTCAATAAAAATTTATTCTTAAATTATTTACAAGCTTTAAAGTAAATAAAGTCCCAAAAAATACGTGTTATTTGTTCAAATAAGTTCATGATTCAGACTCATACGCCTGCATTTCTTCAAAAAGCTATCGACAAGATTTCACTAACGTCTCATTAATTTTGACCGTTTCTGCAGCCCTGATCGCTGCATAAACGCAACACGAACAACGGGAGATTAAATTAACGTTAATCGACATTGGCGAAACTCTCTTCGTTAAATAGATCAAGATAAAGTGCACGCGGGATGTTTGAATCATGGCCGACCCGCGCTGCATCGCGTCGTCGCGGTGATTTCAACGCGCGGCGGGACGCGCGAAAAACAGCGATTTAAGCGAGAGCTGCTAAGGACCACTGCATTTACATTACCGTAGCATCTTTTATGCCTTATTACGTCAACACGTACTCTCTAAAATTCTTAGAGTGTATCTCACTCTGAAGAGTGAAATCTCACTTTCAAAGATCTCACTCTTCACCAAGCTGGTTCAATTTCGACTGTTTAGAATGAGGCTCCACTCCAAAAAATTTAAACAATTATAGTCATCGTAAAACATAACGTATATAAGATATATAACGCACAAGAAAGGGCATAGCATAAGAAGACCTAACTCACTTCTTATACTCTAAATTCTTTTGAATCTCATTCTAAACAGTCGAAATTGAACCAGCTGAAAATTGAAACAGTCTTGAAAAAGAGTCTTTAAAAACAGTCTTTAAAAGATTTCTTCAGAGTGACAATTCATTTTAAAAGTATACGTGCGGTGGCCCTAACAACAAGTGGACAGCGACGCTGAACACGTGACCTCGTCAAGGACGTCGCCATTTTGGTTGAAAATACGAAGCGGGCTCGTTCGATCGCGCTCGAATCCATTTTAGGACTGCGCGACACTGAGGATCTATCAGCGGGAACGAGCACCTTGGCTTTCACGCCAAATACAGTTTGAGGTCGATCACTCACGCGGCGACCGATCATTATCAGCGAACGATCGCGGGAAAACGCAATTCGAAATCGCTAAACGTGTATTAATCGAACGCTCGAATAACCGTCGTGCACCGAGAGAAGATTCTCATCGCTTCCGCCGTGCACGACTCGTTATGTAAGAGACTGACAATGCTATTCGCGTAATATCCTCGACGAGGAAAAGCCATTCGCCGATGCGTCGACCGATCCTTTCTCGGAAATGCGAAATGCACACGCGTCTATCGGCGTCACGCATAAAAGAGAGATCGGAGCGTATAGGATGTTAGAACACAGAGTGAAATTTTTAGGAAGAAAAGATAAGGCAACGTGAGAGTAAGAAAGCACGCCGATTGTTTACACTCACCTACACTCCACTCACGTTCACGCTTGTTTCCGCGAGTTACGCCCAGGGATCTTTAAGGAAATGAAAAACACGATTGTGAGATCGATTTTCAGAGAATTGAAGAAAAATCGATGTTCTCCTCGACGATCAACACTTTCAACGTTGTGAAAAATTAATTTGTCATTCTCGCGTCAACGAAGAGACTGTGAAGGTGAACTTACGAACGCGCGGAACGAAAGTACTCGACGAGACCCGCGCCGCATGCTTTCGCGCCAGCGCTCGCGATACTGTCCGGCCGTCGAGTACTTTCTGACGGATCCACCTGGGGCACCTCAGGCTCGAGTCTAGCAGGTGAGGCGCCCAGAGTGCGTGGTGAACCGCGCCTGGGACAACTTCTTCCAACGCAACCTCGGCGGAAAGACAAATATAGAATTCGGCGCATCGTCACGCCGAATCTTTTGGATCCGTCCATGAATTATGGACTCGCTCGTCCTTCCCGTGGTTTCCTAAAAAGGAACGTCCCATCAGACACGCGATAAGTGCCTGACCAGCTTGCCCATGAAAGCTCGAATAGTAATCGCGAGAGGAAATAATTGCGGAATAGGAACACAAACATGCGATTGGATAATTTATCACGGATTTATCAAGGATTCCGTGTACTTCTTGCAATGTTTCTGATAAACTCTTTTTTAGAATTTCGTAACGATAATAAAGGTTGGTCAGTCTCATTTTGTATTTAAAAAAGCAAGAGTATTTACATAGGCAAAGGTATTTTTCTATTATATTATTAATCGTATAATAGATTCGGAGTCTCGAAGTAGACTCGGATTTAATTATTCAGTCAATTATCATATTATTATGTTACAAGAACTGCTCGAACACCAACTGAGGAAATTTTCTATGTGCACAAAAACTTGAATTTATTTTACACACTTTAAAAGTGTATGAAAAAAGTAAATGTACTATTCCATGTATACCTGTGCTTTAAACTTACACAGACCTTGAATGAAATATAATTTGTCTATAGGCAAGCCAATAATTTTCCATTTAACTAATTCTATTCATAACTTTGAAAGAGTTTTCATTTATAAATAATATTAGCATAATTAGTTTCATATTGTTTATATTTGTATATTCAAACCGCATAAATAAATCCCGCAAAAAAGAACCGAATATTTTCAGCATATACATTATTCTATTAGCTTCAGTCTCAGTGTCTAAAGAAGGAAACGTAGAAAAGAATTTTTTACAAACGAAACGGCTTCGCTAGCTTATGCCGAGACTGTCGGAACGGAGCATTGAATAGTAGGAGGTGAGGATTGGCGCGGCGGGGCGAAGCCACTGTAAACAACAGGCACGTACGCGACAACCGAGTACACGCCCGAATGGGCAAACACCGTGTATCTCTATCACGATGGCGTTCGTCCAATCGGAGATATCGCTGCGTGAGAGACGGAGATTAACGTCCCATTAACCCATTAAAGCGCGCGATCGCCTTGAGACCTTTCCGAAGCGTCGAACTCTGTTACGCCAACATCTTTTATTATTTTCAGAATGAGCCGAAACTATTGCAAATATCATACTCGAAAAGTCTGTATGAACAGAATCGAGAGAATAATTAATGTTCTTTTTGCAAGAATATTAATTATTCTTAATTTATTACCGATATTGCGTCACAATAAACGGTAAGAATAAAAAATATGTATTATAGAAAAAAGAAAGAGAAAGAGAGAGAGAGAGAATTGTTATATTTATTCAGCATTTTGAGGTCGACTCGTCCTCTCAAGCACATGATATATTATAAACTATATAGTATAAATACATTATTATAAGCAGAAAATAAAAAGTGGCTATAAAAGCTTTATGTTCAAAAAATTATATGGCGTAATGTGTAAGATTTTGTGTCTTTATTATATATCCGAAATATGTTGAAATTGTAATTATAGTGCCGTATAACTTAATTTATGTATTTTAAAAGATAATGAAACTGTCAAGTAAATGTTCTGCCTGACATTTTACGGAACTGACGACGGGTCTATTATGGATCAATCCAAATATAAATCTCTTTGTCATAAATATCAAGTAACTCAATTTTCTTTATGTTATATCTGCAAATTTGGATTATTAAAATATATTTATTTTCATCCTTTTTTTATACGAATTATTTTGATGCTTTGAAATTAATTAGTGCCTTTTAATTAATATCACTCAAGATGACTCATATCGAATTTTCCGTTTGATATATTTTACCATTTGATATTTTGCCTAAAAGGAGTATAATTATAAAATAATTTTTAATATCATTTTTTGTAATTTTTTTAAACCATTATGAAATACATGTTATTTAACAAATATAATAAATGTAAACAAAAATATCGCGATCCTCGCGGCACGCGCGGTGATATAAAAAAGTCACTTAAAACTGGCACGGAACGTATTAACATGAACAAGTCTTATATATACGGTAACTATGTTACAGATTTTGGCGTCGATTCCGGAGGATTAAAGACTATCGAATTTACTTGCTTTCGCGAATTATAGTGCAAGCTATCCGAAAAAGTTTTATTCGCGCATTTTCAGTGAGGTGTCCCCGAACAGCGCTGTCGTGATAAGCAAGTAGTATTTTTCGAAAATGTAAATTTTTAGAAATTCATTCTTAGCGCTCGAGGTCGTTAATATGCAAATGCATACATTCCGGTCGAGCTCCTTATATCGCACATCAAATTCGGCATGTACATAATGATTCATTCGCGCAATCAAAATACAGGTTCCTTCGTGAACCAGCGTGTTCTCACACAGCGAGGTGATGCCGCACGCAAGGTCGACCTGAAATGGCGACGACCGATCATTCCCGATGATTAATTAGCAGAGCAAGAGAACATCATTGGAGTCCCCTCTCCTTTTCGTAAATCGGTCCATCAGACGTCCACATGTGATTACGACAGCACGAGCGAATGAGTCAACGATACGCCGATCTGCTCTATTTGTCGTCAATAATACCCCGAGATTGTTGCTGTTATTAGTTCTTTGAACGCTCAACTATGGTTATTGTGCCGGTTTATTTCTCGTGTCACCGGAGATTACGTGATACGTAACAACGTATTTTTTCTGATCGATTGTAAGCCCCGATCTGTAATAGGTATAGTAAAGCCTTTAACCTTTAGCTTTGAATTGTGATGTTAATTTACTGTAAGCTCTAAATTTTACAATCTCTAATCGTCTTACAGATTATGACTTAAGGTAATGCTAGAAATGTTTTCTATCAGAAAAACAAACACAATTCAGCTTAGCAGAACTTAGCAAAAGGTTAAACTTCTTTGGTAAACTTTTTCTCAGAATTGTTTATGTACGTCTTTTCAGAATTTTTTATAAGTTTTAAATAACTTTGTAACTTTTTAGAAAATTTCTCAGATTTTGCAATACATATTAGATCACTCTTTGGAAATGACTAAAAAATTTTTAATATATGTGAATTTTAAAACGTTCTCAGATTTCTAAGATTACTCATTCTATAATTTCTGAAGAAATTTTGTAAAATCTGAAATAGTTAAAAATATTTTTTTAGAAATTGTAAAAGAATGGGAAGTCTTAAAATATTAGAAATCTTAAAACATTTCAGAATTCACATATACGAAAAATTCTAAAGAAAATGTAGACTTTCTTTGTATTTTTAAAATACAAAGAATATGTTCCAATTCGTATAAAAATTCTAAGAAAAAAATTTCAGCAAGGTTGCTACACCTATTATAGATCAGGATTAATCGCAAACGTGTTTAAATCACTCGATGTTTACTAGCTATCACTCATTTTATCTCTGTTTTACTAGAACTGCATCGAAAAGTAGAGAAATCTATGCAAGATTAATTAAGCTGAAGCATTATTGACGGATTATTATTCAATAAATTTTCATCAATTCATTCATTGAGCGGTGTACAGCCAGTAAGTAATCGATGCTAATATGTACATGCAAAAGTCACGATAATATCGAAACGTGTTCGTTTTATCACGTCATTCATATAAATCAACAATAGAAAGCAATTATATGAAAAGTATCTATTACACACCGTTCTCCCCGTCTATGATTATAATTTTCTCGCTTTCCTTGACGGCAATCTGATTCCACGCAGCCGCAGCGAATTGTGCAAGTAGATCGAGAAGTTATCGAGACCTTGGGACCAAAACACGCGCATTAATCTCGGCGCTAATGCATAATACGTCCGATATATCCGAGGAAACGGTGTCAATGTCAATATATGTTGAATGCTGCGAGCGTGTTAAATCATCGTTGCGAGATTTCTGACGAATCTTTAAATTCTTTCAGATTAGTCTCATTCGCGTGATCAACTCATCCCGAATATTAGTGGCACGATCTCTTTATTCAGTATGTGTGTGAGTGTGTGAAAGATGTAGATACCTTAGTAGAAACTTAATCCTTTGCGGTCCAAACTATTTCTCACAAATGAAATATCTCAAGTATTTCCTCCTCAATTTCAACCTGACTGGTTTAACATGAATCGAAGATGAAATCAAAGAATTATTTTTATCATTTGGAGAAATGTATGGAGATCCTAAAAAAATATATAATTGAGTTATTATGATTACATACAGATTCTCACAGAAGAATAACGTATATCAAATAACTATTGCAACGTATACAGTTAATCCGATAGTTGCCTACTTCTTTTTACATAAATAATTGATCGAGGTTTAATTAAGAATTATTATTATTTTTTTCATTTATTTAACATTGTGAGAGCTATGAAATCAATTTTGTGTTCGACGTCGTCGTCCTGCCAGTTTGGACACGTCTTTCCGGGCACGTCGGAGTCTAGAAGTCGCGACAAGTTTACCTATATGGATTTGGAAACGTGCCGATCATCACCAAAACCAGCACGGAATGAGTGCGGATCGCGGAATAGCGACGAGACGCTTTCTCGCAAAAGCGTAATTGCTCTCGCGAACTGGTTCAAAGGAGGTGCGCCTCTCCCAGGTGCGGCCTGACCGCGACGATGCGAAGAGATGCGACCGATGTGGCGATGTGACGTCATCAGTCCGGTTTGCGCGTCCAATGTCCTCGTTCGTCATTTTATAAGGATACGAGCCTACCGTTCAGCGACTGCGAGATTGTCATACGAGAATAATCTCTGCGTTGAGCTCGTATAATATATTGCATCCTTTCTATTTTTGCGCTCTGCAAGTGCATATCTCTTCTACTTTTAACGCTACATCGGAATCTCGAGAGAAAGCGAATATTTTGGATAGTGTAGCGAACATTAAAAAATTAAGAAGAGATTATTCGTCTATCATTAACTCTATTGTTACTTTCCAATTATAGAATACAATATTGAGAATTATAGAATACAATAGACACAACATTGGGAGAAATAATTTTGTTACAGGAATAAATCGAGGGAAAACAAATGTGATATTTGTTTAAAAAAACTATCGATTTGTTACAATTGCAAATTAATTCGTCAATGTAACAAATAATCAATAGCATCTCTAGCTAATAAGAGGCTCATATATGTATATATAAAAGTCTAGTCAAGTATTCTCTTTATATTTGACTGTGCTTGATCAGTTTCCTACGACTTCAGACTTAAGACTTCATGATCATCTACGATTTCTATAATGTAAACGAGCTTGAAGTCAATTCAAAAGATAAGTTAAATTCTATATAGTTTGCTTCTGTTATTAATATTTGGTTGGTATAGCAGACTAGCAGCAATCACAACAAACAAAATTTATTGTCATATTTACCGATCAAATGATCGGTATATCTTTGTTAAAGATATACTGATGCTTGTTAAATTAACAAAGTCCTTTCTCTCAGTGAAAAAGTGTTAATAGTGTGTTAATAGTCTTCTCAAAGTTGAATAAACACACCCCTAGAAGTTAAATAAATTCAACGTATTTGTAATATATTTTATACATATCGACAGTATATAACATCCATTAAATAGCTGAAGGACACAATTGTTGTATTTATGTAAGCTATTTTGAGTTAGATTATCTTTCAAATTATTACAAATTATATAACATAATGAGGAAATATATATATCTTTGTTTTCCTAAACTATTTTCAAAATTATGTAACATCTACATATCACCATAATCACAAAGTATATCATATTGTTCTCTTTATGAGCTTCCTAAGTTATGTTACAGTTACATGTTGATTTGCTGGGAAGTAGCAAGGCGACATTAAATGACGTTTTAATAGTATCTTCAACGCCAACGAGGTGTTATTAAAACGTCGACTTGCTACTTGAGTCACATAGTTGTTTTTTAACGAAATTATTCATGTATTTTTGTTAATCCCCCAAAATCATATTACACAATTTTCGTGTTGTTACTTTATAATTTAATTAGCAATAAAGATTAATAACATCCTATGTATAATACCCTTTAAATGAAGACAAATGTAAATCGTTTATTAAATTAATTTTTAACTTAATATAAATTTTTTTAATTAAAACAATTTGCATTAAATATATTTTGAAAGTTGAGGTGTTCAAACACTCCATACGAATAATAAAGGATTAATTATAAAATTATCATCACAACAAATTACCTCTCCCGTCCGCGTTCGCCGAGAAAGAAGGCATAAATAATGCGAGACCTAAAAACGTCTGCTTGCCATTAAAATTTTCGCGTTACGATTCAAAATCGATGGAAGCGAGCATTGAGCAGGCGTTAAACTGGCCAAACGTACTCTCGTTAATTCACGGAAGACGTTAATAGCCGCTCGCTGCGGTAGATTCGCGCCGTACGGTTCTCTCGTTTCCCATTCTTGGCACGATCGTATCAAAATTACGCGCCGTGCTGCGCATCGAAAATCGATATCACTCGCGCAAGGTAAGTGCCGACACCTAGCGGCGAGAATTCCTACCATAAGAAACGCAGAGGCCGCTGCTAGTCGTTTCGCAGGTCGATTCCTGGCGTACCTCCTAGGGAAGAAACGAAAAGTATCTAGCCGTCTAGAGGGCGGAATATTAAAGTCGAGTGCCATGAAGGAGAAGGGCTAGAAGGGAGGGGAGCTAAAGAACCGATGAGGAAGAGAAGTGGAGAGAGAGAGCGAAGCTCGGCGCCGTGGCGAGAGCCACGACCCCAGAAGACCGTACGGTGATTCTCTGTTCCGCTTGTGTAACGTATGTACACCGTTTGTGTTGGTGTAACGTGCGCTAAGTGTACGTGTGTGTGTATGCGTGTGTATACGTGTGTACGTTTATGCACCGTCTGCGGAGCGTACGCCATATTCTTTCGGTGGCGCGACAGAGACAGAGGATCAAGAGGATAAGGGCCAGTCGCGGACGGATGACAGAAATGCAAAGCCGTCGTGCGAGTGCGAGAATTAGCGCCGAACGTGAATAGTTTCGGCGGGGCGGCAAAATCGTCTTATAATTCGCGTGTAATACGGGGAACGGTGTGTGATGCCTTTTCGCCGTGGATATCATCAGTGAATATATCACAGCTCTCTCGCTCCGTCTCTGTCCCACAGCCCCCCCCTCCCCCTTCTGTTTTTCTCTCGCTCGTCGTCTCGTCTCTCCGTCTTTGCTCCTCACGACGACGACACCGTACCGACGGTAACTTAACCCCGGTGTGTATTTAACGTGTAATATATGTGCACGAAGATAACGACGATGCGCCAGCGACGGCGCTCGTCACGCGTCATCGTCCCGTGACACGACGCGGTGGCGACGACGACGACGGCGACGACGACGACGACGACGACGATGACGACGACGTCGTCGACGTCCGTCAACGGTGTGTTGCTGTGATACGTGCGCGATTCGCCAGGCTCGCCACACACGGCGACGAGGGGAAGTACAGAAGGTGTGCACGGAACGGAAGACGAGAGTTCAGTCAGTCAGTCAGTCAGTCAAGTAGAGGACAGGAGCGAAGGCACGGGACACGCTCTGGTCTCCGGCGGGCCAAAGGCAGGTCGGCGCGCGGCCATTTTTACACCGTTTACACCGTGCGATGCGGCAACCGTGCGTGCGATTCGTTCGATCCGCCATTCCAAACAATCGGTGCGCTACGTGCAGTCCTCGCAGGATGCGTCGACGACGATAGGCGCTCCGCTTCGCGTCGCGTCACGCTGCGCTGCAGTCAGTCGGTTCAGTTGAACGGACGGATGGACGGACAGGCAGACAGACAGACGGACGCACGTACGCACGTACGCACGCACGCACGCATGTACGTACGCACGCCCGCACGCACGCACGCACGGCACGCATAAGACACGCGCTGTCCCGCACTCGGCGTGAAAAAGAAAGAAAGAGAGTGAGCGAGAGAGAGAGAAAGAGGAAGACGTGACGTCGCGAAGACGAGAGGACGACGGCCCGTGGGCCGCCGGCGGTGGCAGTAGTGGTGCTGGAGGTGTCTGCGCTTGGACGACGTCGTCGTCTCGCGCACGAACGTCGACGACGTTGGCGACGACGGTGGCGAGGAGGAAGAGGTGGAAGCGTGGAGGCGAAGAAGAAGGAGAAGAAGAAGAGGAAGGAAAGAGGGATCGCGCGGCGATAACGTGAGGAGGATGATAACGGCGCCCGCGATCATCACCGCCGCGACGTGGACGGCTACGACCACGACCTCGTCGACGACGACGACGAAGACGAAGAAAAAGACGAGGTCGAAACGGGAGGAAACAAAAGTCCCGTACGAACAATCCAGCTGCGTTTATACGGTTCAGCCTCCGTTCAAGCTCCGTGAGCTCCGTGTGCTCCGTAGGTGCCTGTGATTCCCAGTGGTGTTTAGCGACGGGCTATTAAGCCCGTGGTGCATTAAAACCCCCGTCTCGATCTTCGGTGTGTGTAACCAATAAAATAACGTTGGATAATAGTGCGCTACCGTGAGAGACCGTTGTACTACTTCCTCGGCCTTCCAGCGCGTGCTTTGGACCCAAAAAAGAGCGTGTACTTGTCTCGCTCGTGATTCGCGAGTGCTCCATCTCGGTATAATACAGTATACACCGCTGTCATTTTCTATCTCCCTCCCTAACGCGCCGCGTTCTCGCTCGCTCGCTCGCTCTCGTCTTCTCTCTCCGTCCCTCTTTCTCCCTCTCTCTCTCTGTCTCTCTCTCTCTCTACCTCTCTCTTTCTCTCTCTCCGTCTCTGTCCCGTCTGTCCCGTCTGTCCGACTTGGGTGCGTGTTTCTCGCGTGCCTCCTCGCCACACACGCACCCGGACTCTCTCTCCTCTTCCTCGACCACCGCGCGCGATCGATGTGACATCGCGCCGTGCCGTTAAACCGTGCTCTCTCTCTCGTGCTATCGCGATATCCGCGACTAACGCGTCGCGCCACGACTTGGAGACCAGAGAGCCGAGAAGACTCGTTCGACGAGACGCACAAGAGGAAATATATATATATATACACATCATACATACATATATATATATATATATATACATACGTATATATATACATATCGGGGGATCGAGTGGAGAGTGTGCGTGCGACAGTGCGTACTGCGTGCCGACGGCAACGTCTCCGTGAGTGCGTACCCCGAGGCAGCACGGTGTGGTGCTGCTGCTGTTGCTGCTGCTGTTGCTCTCTCTCCTGATTCCTCTCTGCCCTGTCCCTTTTCCGTCTCCCTCTACCCGCACCATCTTTGCCTCTCGTCCCTCCAGTGCCCTCCGCACGTCGTCTTCCTTTCTTCTCCCCTCGCTTCGGTTCCCTCTCGCTCTCCCTGCCTCGGTTTTTCTTTTCCCTCGCTCCCGTCTCTCTTCCCATCGGTCGAGACGACTGTAGAGAATGCACGAGAACGCTGCCACGACCATCGCTGCTGTCGTCTGCTCCCTGTCGTGTGCTCCCTTTGTCGTTGTCATCATCGCTGCCGCCTTCCCTCGCGCCGTCCACGTCGTCGTATGTTGATCGTAGTATCGCCGCGCGACGAGTGATCGCGACGACCCTCGAGTGATAAAGTGCCGTGTGTGCGTGGAGATAGTTTGGAGATCTTCATTTGTGAAGATGGAGATTGAGGCGAAGCAGCGTAGCCAGAAGAATCGGCGACGGGACCGGGCGCAGCGCATGCGGGCGCAGAGGGAGAGCCGGGCCACCGCGAAGCAGCAACAATCGCAGCAGTCGCAACACCGGCCGCCGAATGATGGGGAGGATAGCCACAGCGGTGAGGACGAGGACCCCGCTGGCGGTGGCGCCGGTGGCGGTGACGGAGGCGGTGGCGGCGGGCTCGGACTCGCCGCCAAAACCGGTCACCCGCGGGACGGCCACTCGCGACCGCCCAAGCCACCGCGACCCCCGAGGCCGCGCAAGAAGTCTTCCCTCGCGGCCGCCAACCAGAAGGAGCCACCTTTCGAGGAGGACATTATCGACGGATTCGCCATCCTCGCCTTCCGCTCCTACGAGGAACTCGAGGTGAGCGACGGACCGGAACCATTCGTTTACCACTTATTTTCATTTTCTGTCTTTCTCTCGTCCGAACGAGATCCGCGCGATCGGATCTTTATAGAGATGAGGTGGAGTGATTGTAGGGAGTGGAAAGGAAAATCGGAAACATGTTCGTCGTCTTCGGATGTGATGTACTTGCCATAACCTAAAAGTATAACCTAGAGATAACCTACAAATCTTCTCTACTCTTCTCGGCTCTTGTTTGTCTTTCTGTTTTGATTCTTTTCCAAATTCGGTTCTTCTTTCGGATTAGGCGGAAATACGAATTTTCTGCGAGTCACGTATCCGAAGATTATCATATATAAGATCAGAAATAGAAAGTTGGAAACATATGTATATGAACTCGAACAGAGAGAGAAAAGAGAGAAAGAGAGAGTCTATGCTACTCGAAGAGACCCAACAGGATATTGGATTATTTAATCGATTCGTAATACTGGATACGTAATCCTTTGACTGTTTAAACAATTCGGACAGAAAGAATACAAGTCCAAGGGATTATATTGTTCAATTTTTTTTATTTGCAAAGTCCTATAATCATTGTCCATCGATTTGTTTCATCGATTCTCTCTATCCAAACTAAAGATTTTCTACTTCTCGAAGTGACTAACCATTTGAATTATACGACCGTCGACAAATAGTACTTTTAGTTTATCTTGTCTCATTAATCATTCCAGATTTAATGGATTTGTGTACATATGTATGTGCATTTATGTACATACTATCATTGTAGCACAATATGGGAGAATATATTTCAGAAATATTTACAAAATATGCTTCAATCACTATTAAATCAAGAAATCTATTTTTAGTATTACCTCTTTTACTTGCAATTAAATGTGTATAAAGAAAATTGGGGAAGTGCGAATTTTATGTTTTCATTTCGAACAAAATGAAAAGAGTTAAGTTAAAGACCGGTAATAGAAACAGCAAATAAGATTTCAATCTATTGAAAACTTTATATTCTGTGATATACAATTTCTGGATAAGTTGAAATCTGTTATTCTCTGCTTCTATTGCCTGTGCTTTTCAATTGTGTCTCAGGTTTTATGCCATATGGATAAAGGGAGCTTTAAAGCTTCTTTAAAGCTTTGAAAAGCGCAGGCAAATAGTTGTACTGTCTCAAGTATGTCATATTGTATAACGTCTTATTTGGTCAACGTTTTTAAAAAATGTTTTCTTTTCGGTGCGAAAGGTCGTCACGGTGGTTCCTCTTAATCTGTAACTTCACGCATTTTGTGTCGCCGTGTTTTATGTATATTTATGATCTTGTCGTCAAGTGATTTTCAATGAATTATGTACCAGCGAGGAGTCATCGAAAATATATTACTTTATAAGCAAACCGTGAGACAACTTTAGTAGCAAGAATTGTTTCAACAGTTTCTTCCACCTCTTTTTAGAATTATAATTTTATTATAAAGCAGAGAGAGAAAATGATTTACTTAATATGAATACGTATGAAAGAAGAGATTTATTTACTTCACAACTTCTCGAATTCCAGAAATTCTATTAAAAGTAATTCAATATCCGATAAGTTATTTATTCAATTAACTCAAATAAGTTTGCGCATTTGAAATTTATATGCGGAATACAAGATTAATTGGGAAATAATAACCAATTGATATTTCTAATTAATTGAGATAACATAAATTAAGTTCATTTAAAGTATTGACGATGGAAGTCAGTGGTTTCTCAAATCGTACTTTATAAACCCAATAAGCATCAGTGTAAAAACGTCAAAAAACAAACGTAACACGACAGTCTCGTGTTAATTAGTAAAATCTCGGTGGCGTATATATACTTTAATTACGGAAAACACGTACACAATTAATGTCGTATGCAGAAGAGTTTTGTAATTGGGCGAGTAAGAGTCACTGGCGCAGATAAACGGAGCAGATCATAAAGTCGCTAATATGAAACGAGCAAAAGAGAAAAGAATGTATGTATATATATATATATATATATATACACCTTGTACTGAAATAAGTGATTCAAGTCAAATGGATCGGCCATTATTTTCCAAGCAACCGGATACTTTGGTCAGCAAATTATATTAGAGACATTCTGGCTCTCGTAGACTCGAGCTCGGCCACTCGCGCGGTTTAATCGCGGTTAGAGTTTAACCGACGTCGTCCGTGCAATGCAACCGGCCTTTGGAACGCGCTTCGGTGATATCAGCGACTGATAGCACGACGATCTCGCCGTCGCTCTCCTCGCGCGAGCAACGCGAACGTGCTCCTGTCTCGCGGTTCGTATTACATCGCATTACATCGCATCGCATCGCGTCGCGTCGCGTCGTAATGCGTGTACCGACCATTTCTTCGTAGCGTGTAACGGTATTCACGACGCAGGCTCTTCTCGCGCGAACGAGCAGCGAGAGATGAAAATCCACTTGCTGTGCGCGCGAGACTGCGAGTTCTCTTCGCGAAAGGGAGTGAGAGAGAGAGAGAGAGAACACAAAACACAATAATGCGTTATTATCTTCTATTCAAATGCTCTTATAAAATTTCTCTGACTTTATAAACTTGCTCGAAAACGTCGAAAAGTGAATGTGGATACCGAGTATATAATTTATATAAGATAATTATAACGTTCAAAATTGAATATAAATATAATTATACAGAATGATACTAAAAAGATATTAGTGATGTAATAAAGTTTTAACAAATTTGTAATTAACGTAATCGAAAATATGGCAAGAGTTACCTTGGTCGAGATAACGAAGATAAAGCGGTTAAAGCTGATTCTAATCGGAGATAACACGAATGCGTTCTGAAGATAGATAAGTCGTTCATGAGAGCACGTCGATAAGAGAAATCGCTCGCGTGGCGAATACTTATTTTTCCGCTATTGACATAAATTTGCATCGTAATGAACTGTGACCTTGTCAGGTATATCGCCGACACGCGCGCCGTAATGTGCGCCTCCGTTGCCTTTTATCTATTATATAAATGAAAAATAATATTTTCTCTTATATAATTTCAAAATGTATACTATGCGGTTAGAAGTGTCCCATTTAGTCTACATTTTTTTTTTTTAAAGAAACTTTTTACGGGTGAGAAAGGTCGTCACGCTTGTCTTTCTTAATCTGTGGCTTTACACACATTTTATGTTATTGCGTGTATTTACAATCTTATCAATAATTTGGTAAGATCATTTTAATAAATTTCGTTTTAATAAATCGTTTTAATAAATTTCGTTTACTAGTGAGGGGTCATAAAAAAAAACATTGGTCTAATTTCCAACTCTCAATTTGGTTCCACTTCGGTGCGGATCAATTTAGAATATTGTTTCCATTGGATGGAGAGTGACTTTGTGGATCGAAGCGGCATGAAATGAGCGCAGTCAAACGGTTTTCCGACTTAAATTTGATCCTAGACTTAAATTCTTAATGTTAAAATCTAATTTGAATTATTTTTAATCAATTCTATAAGTCGCCACTGCTCTTATTCAATATGTCGTTAATTTAACGAAAATACTGGAATAAAACTCAATAAATGTATCAATTTCGACTTAAATCTACTTTATTATTTACTGTATGTGTATACATTATCATAAACATTATTTATAATATTTTAAAATTAATCACAGATATGAATTAATTTACATTTTAATATACATGGAAGTTAAAAATAAAACATTATTTCACTCAACAGATTAAATTACCATTGTTTCTTTGATATCTAACGCTGCCGCATTAGGTATGGAAATTAGACTATTGTACAATTTTTCGAAAGGGAACAATCCTGCTTTAAGAATTTTTCCAGAGAGCCAAATAGATCCCGTAAACTTAAATGGTGTAGAAATAAAAATTATAAATATATTTGGTCCTCTTCTCTGGTATGTTTAAAGAACTGGGTGTCCCGTAACGACGAATGATTCTCGACAGTAAAGCTCATCGGTGCATACGTCGCCGGGAGTGGCCCTTGAGAGTTTTATTCCCTCGCGAGCAATCCTCGACAGTAAAATTTCCGGCGTACATTGAGAGCGACACTTAATGAGTGCCCAATTGAGAGTTTCATTCTCTCCGCGAGTGATCCTCGATAACAAGACTCTCGAGTGTGCATTTTGCCTTAGACGCGAAACTCTTCTTTTGCTCTAAATTCGTCGAGCCGCTTCCTGCATCCCCTGTTTTGATCAAGTTAATCGAATGATTAACAATTTTCTACGTCTTCTACATAATATCGCTAACTCCAGACGATAACAGGATATTAAATCTCAATTATTACAGTAATAATTTTTTTTTTGTTTACAGAAAATGTCTTATTACGTGCAATTAAAGATGAATGATTACTTTAATTAAACACGATTTAGTTTTTCCTAAAGCAAAAACTTCCTTTTTTTTTTTCAAGCAAAAACATAATTACAGAACTAGATTTTGTTTCAAAAAAAAAAGCTTACTCGATAACTATCATTATCACTGAGAGAAACGAAAATAAATATCCGGTGAATTCACGTTGTATCAAGTTTTATCTCGCCGTGGAGTTGTTTTATTTGCGGATCGATATATCAATAAGAAGCGTTCTGTTTCCGCAACATTACGACGTGTTACCAAAGAGACCTGTCCGAAGTGAAAGTTATTTTGTTAATCGCGTCCCGAGCCCTGCGTCGTGATTTATGCGTCGTCGCTCGAGATTATTTCTTTTCGGCGAGAACGGTAAAAACTTGGCGCGACGTATCGCACATTAAATCCGCAAATTAACTCGAAGACATGCCGCGTAATTACGCGCGCGGACGCCTTTATCGTGATTTATCGCGGCCGGGAAGTTAAATCGTTACATTTTATTATTTGCAAAGTCTCGTTAAGCGCGACATCGTCATCCTTTTCTTTTTGGCAAAACACTGGTAATATATTTCGTTGAATTTAATTTTCGGTATACCGGATGGGACGTTAAAATTTGTATTACGCTATATATTACGATTCCGTCGACATGAATAAATCCCTCAAATTCCGTTCGTCCTTCCATCATTGAAGTTAAATTCTTTCTTTTCTTTAAATTCGATAAACTTGGATGATACATTTTCAGCGTGAAATATCGCTATGATATATATTATAGTTTGACAAAATTAAAAATTTTTGTTAAAATTAGATAATTGCATTATAAAATTATAACGATCTTAAAACTGATTACGTTATAAATTGTATAATTACGTATTCATCGCTTATTTCTATTTTTATACTTTTATTACTGCTCGTCGGGGTATAAAATAGCTTGACGTAATTTTCTTCGATATCGACCAGATCTGAAATGACGATTTGCTTTTGCAAACTGATAATCGTGAAGATAACTGCCGCGAAGCTATCGTCATTGCAGATGCTTATTTTTCGCCTAATTAAAGACATTTCCACATTATTTCTAAAGTAAACGTTTCAACCTCGTTCGATTTTAGCGTTTTACATTTTACGACGTTGGCTCTTATCGATCACTTTCTGCTTTTCTTATTTAATCGGCACTTGAGAGTTTTTTTTCACGTATCGATGAAGCATCTATAGTTTATCTATCAAGGTTGCATCGTGTTTATGACGATGGGCATCCATGCAGCTGGCTTGAATCTGCAGGTGGCTCGCCTGTTGCAACCATTCACCCGCTCGATCCCAGTGCTTTACGTCTATCCCGCCTTCAATATATTGCTATGACGCCTATGACGATAAAAATATAACCCGCATTTATATAACGCATGTCGGTTTCTAAATAACACGTATCGCCGATCCTCAAATAACACAAATTTGATATCTACTTGAAGCGAAATTTTCGACGCAAAGATTCGTCTTTTCCAATAGCACTTCTCGATGCCAGACGAATTTCAATGAAGGAGCCAGACTTTCAATAGAAATCAATGTGTCTCCGTTGCATTGAATTATTATTCCACCATTAATTGTAATTGTAAATTAAAGACAACTGGACTTTTTGTTCGAGATCGATAGTTCTTTTACGCGAATATTCTGTACAAATTAAACTTGAACGTATATATTTAGCGTAATGTAAAAAAATATCGTACAATAAAATTGAACTTTTTATTGAATAATTACGAGATACCATCACGTAAACGTCATAAACGTCATTACACTGCATCATTACGGTGCGTCATTGCGGTAATTCGTGCACACACCAACGCTCCCCCTAGTCTCTCCTCCTATAATCTCTCCAGCTATAATCTCTCTCCCTCCCCCTTCTTAATGGAGGCATTGCAGACATATTCGTTATCAATATTCGAGATTAGACTTCTATCTATCTCGCGTTGACGCGATAATCGCGGAGCTGCCGGTCACTCCGGCATTTCTTGCGCTTATTTTTATTTCATAAAAAAAAAAGAAAGGGAAAAAAATGACATTTATCTTCAGGCAACCGTTTTACAAGACGACCGCAAAATACATATCACCATAGGTAAAACCCGCTCATTATCATAAACATTACGCTCGCTGCGCTTGTTTATGCAACCGGCTTCGGTGTGTGCGCGCTACGCCTTGTAAATTTATCGCCTCGTGCCTTCTTTTACTTTATCGTCGTTACTCGTGTCACGATTGAAGGACAAAAGTGACGAAGCCGAAGCAACGCGTGACTCCTTATAGCCGGATAGTCTGTTTCCCGACGGGTACAAAAATCGTAGCGCGCGTGCAGATCGTTCATGTCAAAATAGTCGATACATCTTTTTGTCGTAGAAATAATGCATTTCTAATCGAACGTGTTACTAAGTTACTCTGAGCATTTTTATTGCACTGATATATATTTGCTGAAGTATTTACTGTATTAATAATTACTACGTCTAAATAAGCTGTGTTCTTTTATTTAATGCGTTATTTAATGCGGGAATCAAGAAGAATTATTTTCTTCTTTGAAGCTTATAATTTGCAAAAAAAAATTTCTCTTCGCGTTTTTATTTTGATTTACAATTCGAACATTTAAATATTTTTACGAATCGATTCCATATTTTTATTAGTATATAGAAATTTACGTTTTATTACAGTAATTAAGTTTATATGAGATATATTTCTCTCGAATTCATATTTATTCTATTCAAAATGTTTATAGAACATTATATAATCGTCCTTGTGCGTATCGATTGCGGCAACATATTTATTGTCCGAAAGCAAATTAATATTTGTATTAATAATTGCTAAGTTATAATAAGTGTCATGTTCTCATTATTGAATGGAGAAATCAAGAGGAATTATATTCTCCTTCAAGTTTTTATAGTTCGCAGAAAAGAAATTTAATTGCTTTTTCAAGCATTTCTATTTTGATTTATATAATTCAAATATTTAGATATTTTTAATGAATGAGCATCATTTCCAAATTTTATTTAGTATGGTAAAAATATATTTACGTTTCCAGATAATGAATTATCTTATACAAGTCAACTGGACACACTTTTAGATATTTCTGTAAGTAGAATATTTTTAGAATAATAAGACATATAATCATCCTTACGGCATTGAAAAACAACCGGTACCTTTTAACACCGTTGAAACGCTAAACGCGACGTTATTGTTATCGCGCGTGCGAATGACGGAGCAGAATAGTACGCGTACCGTCTAAACGGGCCTGTCGATCATTCCTGAATAGATATTCCGGCATGAATCAAGCTGCTCAAAGCAAGCTGCTGGATGTTCAAAAGGCAAAGCGGAAAATCCACCCTCTCTGACGCGCGCGGCGACGGTTTTTATTTTCTTAATTAAAAGTACCGCGAGAGAGACGTGTGTTCTCTCGCGCTGTAATCTGTTACAAATTAAATAGAAATGGTCGCGGAGAGCGCGGATGTGACGAGAGAGCACATCCGTTGTCCGTGAGTTATCGACGCCACTTCTCTGGTTATTGGAGCCTCCGTTATCACGAGAACGCGGCAAATAGAACGCTTCGAAAGGTCGGTAACGGAACGTGACAATCAGCTCTCTCTCTCTCTCTCTCTCTCTCTCTCTCTCTCTCTCTTTTTCTCCTTTTATCTTTGTATTTCTTTATTTTTATTTTGATATTTTGTGTTACCATTTTTCCTTTTTATCTTTTTTATATCGTAGAGGGTTTGCCCTATAGAATATTAATAAATGTCTTTATCTCTCTTTCTCTCTCTCTCCTCCCTTCTCTCTCTTTCTGGTGTAATTAACTATAAACATAATAATCTCAAAAAACAGCGAGCGTGACCGATGTTTGGAACTAATAGACCGGAGCAATCGATTAGATAAGACAGATACAGCAGCCTACATGATAAATTATAATTACGAATCGTAAGACGGCGAGATATTTCGAGCCTGTTAAAAATGACGTTCCCTCGTTGTGACCTTGGCTTTCTTATTTGGGAATACTGTGCGGGTAAAGCGAACCGTAAAACGGTGGACGACCTTGCGAGCGAATTTCATTTACTTGCCTGTCCTCCGCTAAACATTCGACTCCGATTTGCGAAATGTTTCGGGAGAATGTCGTTCGGATTGCATTTGGCGCGTTCGATGTCAAAGGCGCCATTTCGCTCCATCGTATCCTTTTACAATCATCGTCTGTGCGTGGAGGTGGGAGTGGAGGAGGAGGAGGTTGAGGAGGAGGAGGAGGAGGAGGAGGAGGAGGTGACAGAAGGAAAAAAGTCCTTTTGGTATCTCCGATCCTGCCGGAATGCAAACTCCAACCTCGCCGCCAGGTGCCGATTCTCTCACAATGAGTGTCTTTCGTTGCCGTTTCTTCCCATTTATTTGTTCCCTCGTCGGACGATATCGTTCCGTTTTCAGAAAAATATACCGTCGCGCGTTAACATCGCCGTGAAATGTATGTGCATGCGTAATTATGCCGTAATAACGCTTCAGGGCATCAGTTTAACGTGTGGAAACGCGACCCGTGGATTTTCAACGTATATCTTCCGTCGCATATTAAATGTCGGCAATTAATAACACTGCAATTTAACGCTTAACATGATTACAAACTATTTTGCAATATACTTTTTTTACGTAATTAAGTCTCAACGCTTATAAATATTATTATACCTCAAGATTCATGAGAAACATCAGCTACTACAATAATTTTTCGCTAGTCATTCCATTGTATCTTTTTTTTTTTTCTCTGTACGATGGATTTTGAATTAGTACGTATTACGATACGGTGGACATCTTTTTTTTCGCACTTGTACATAATATTGTCATTTTTTTGTGGTTTCCACTGATTTAACAGCTATTCAGGACAATTTATTTGTTTTAACAAAATCTCGGACAGCAAATCACGATATTGTGCGCTATGATGAAAAAAAACAATGGTCACCAGCGAGGTTCACTAAATTGGATTGAATTTTTAACGCCGCTTTTTTTTTTCAGGAGCAAAGCTCCACGTACAAAAGAAACTGTTACATGCTCTGCACATATTGTTTCATTTGGAATTATTGTCTATGGCTTTTTGTTGCGGTGCCTGTCATATTTCGCGTACAAACATATTTTGCGTATAAACTGGTAGCGACTTGAAAACGTTATGAGAGAATGGAAAGAAAAGAAAGAAGAATAGAGTAAGTTATTTATGATTATGGGCTCCCCGCTAAGAAACGTTTCGCCCATCCGCGTTCACGAGAGTCGCGATAATAAATAGCAATACGTTCTATGAATAGAGCATCTAGAGGAACGCACTTGTCGTTATAGTCTATTAAGATATCCGCAAACTGCATTACATCGGACTTTCCTCGAGGACGTTGGCCGTTTGCGTTGATCGAAATATCGGGCTCGTTGATCATCGACGTTGACGGCGGTTCTGAAAGCGGCTTTTCTATTAAAAAGCTGGGGATCGATAATCGTCGATGTTCGCTCGTGAATTCGGGATGAGGTCAGTGTCACGTTGTCTGACAAATGAGGCCTCGTTATACAAGAAATGTCACGCGTTAAGAGAATTTTAATAAGTATTTTTCTATCTTTACTGATTTAACGATCCTTTTTTAATTAACAATTGAAGTATAAACGATAATATATTCCAAATAGATCGAATACGACAAAAACGAAAAAGTTGGAATATTAGTTTTTTTATCAGCTTCTGGCGATTCGTAACAATATTTGCTTCACATAAGTTTTGTATTGTAGTAGATATAATTGTATTGTAATAGATATAATCTTGGGTTTGGATTAGGTGCTTAGAATTGGATATCTAATATGAAAGATCAATTAGTTAGAAAATTTGTATGCTATATTGATGTAGTAGTAACAATAATAATAAATCGTAATAAATATTTGTTCGAATAGTTCCAAGTAAATATTTACTAAATGTATAAAACACATTTATTCGATGAAATTAATTTGATCTATCATTTTTTTATTGAATAATTTGTTTACAGTAAATATTTATTTATTGTGAATAAATGTTTACTTAATACTATTTTTAAAAACGTGTACCAAGATATAGTAAATTTGTTTTCAATGCAATATAAATTCTGTTGAATCCGGTAAAATAGACGACTTTATAGGATCCTCTTAAATACATTATTTGTTTCGTATAAATTTTGAATGGTATCCAAGAAAGCGAATAAGAATTAATAGAATCGTCGATGTCTTAATTAATAATTTAACGAGAGACTCTGATTCTTCAAGAAGCGTATAAAACATTAAATTAAAGATAATTCCATTAATTAATGTTCGCGATAATGTAGATATGATTCATAGATGCGCGACACGGAGGGAATTATGATTTAATTGACACGTAATTATATGAATTTATTTCTTAATTCGACGATAAGATTCTGAACATCGGTAGATTAATGTACATTATGTATCGACCAGTCTGTTACGTCACAACACGCTGAAGAGAATCGTAACATGAAAGTCATTTTTCGTATATCTTTCGAGAGACAGCGCGATTCGCGAAGAAGTTAAATATAAACACAGCTACTTCATTATAATACAGACTCCAGTAAGGAAGAAAATACATGAAACTTTATGTCACGCGTAATCACAAGCCTGCAGAAAAGGATACGAATTTAAATTGCAAATTGAACAGTCAGCATGCACGCGCTCGATGCAAAATAAACACTCGTAGCCCTTACGAGGGTGTACATTGATAAGACCCCCAATGATAAGATGCGCTCGTTACAAGGCTTCGAATTACTCGTTCTCAGCGAACGATGTTTCAGGACTTTTTTCGCGGCAACTGAACCGAAGTGTCTTGAAACTTTTCATATCGTTCGAACGAGTCGAGTCTTCCTTCGCGTCGCGAGCGGAAGAAACTGAAGAAAGAGGGAAAACGAGGGAGAATGAGAGAGAGAGGAAGGGCTTTCGAGTTCGTCGGCCGAGAAACGTAATTTTACGTCGGACGAAATCGCCAGCGTTCGGCGCATCACCGAGGGCTCGCTCGCACCGCGATGTCGTTAGCCATGCCGAGGCCGAGAGACTAGAGAGTGAGGTCGGCAGCAGCGCCCGCGCGCTGCTCAATAAATCAGAACTGCTGTATTCGCGCGACGCGTGTCGGTTCGGTGGGAAGCAAGGACGGTCGAATCTGCCACATGATCCGTCAACAGAGATCACCCGGATGAGATATGCGTATCCGTCGGATGTTATACTGACGGACGGCCTCGTCGCTGAAGAAACCCCACGAGTCCTCGAACGCAAGAGTTGAAAGTCAAAAGTATATATTGGGTCATCTAAAAAGTATCCGCGGTTTTTTGTCACTAGATGATGTTGATGGTCGATACCATCTAGTGACAAAAAACCGCGGATACTTTTTAGATGACCCAATATATAGTATGATAGGAGAGTCACTGTGGCTTCGATTCTTTTTTAGACGGAAAGAACATTTGATTTTTGTTGAAATGCTCTAAAAGTTTCACTTATATAGAGGCAAATTTGTGAAAATAATTTTGTTGGACCATTAAAATAATTATGTGCGTTGGGAAAAATTTTTTATTCAAAATGAATGATTACATCAATCAGAATTTTTAGTTATCTCAACTAGAATTATAACAGATTCAACCACAAAATTCTGTTCGTTTTTAACCGGAATTCCAATTAGTGCAAACAAACTTTTTACAGTATGAGAGACTCGAGCGTAATGAGCAATATGCTGCAAAAAAATATTGATATTCTAGCGTCCAGTGAGTTTGAGCGTGTGTAATTGTTTTGATAGTTTAATAAAATTATTTTCAAATTTATCTACACAGAGAAAAAAAACTGTATTTTTAAATATTAATTACTGTGTTTGTAAATATTAATTATTTGTTTCAAATATTTCAAAAGTCTACATCTCTATATCCATAAATCTATTATAATTTTATCACAAGCATTAAATTTATTAAAAATGTATTCTGAATCCTAATAAGTTTAATATTTCAATCAAAATTATTGAATGAAAACACATCGCTTATTATATATAATTCTTTTTTCGATAATAATTTTATAAAATTCTTAAAAAAAAATAAATTCTTGTTTTAAATATATGGAAATAAATTCTTGTTTTAAATATATGGCAATGAGTTTTTTGTTTTTTCTGAATTTATAATAAGTATATTTCAAGGCTATTATAAAAAAATATTTTTTGTTAGATGACGTTTCTTGAAAGAAAAAAGGTAAACTGAAAAAAATCACTTTTCTTATAGCAATAGAATGACATTTTTCTGTGTGTAATTAAATTTTTAGATATTTTAACAAAACCATTCTTTACGTGTACGGAAAAAAACGTGCAGAAAGTTTGAATACAAAAATTTGCAAAACAATTTATTAAAATGCGCAGTAGAACGCATTTGAATTCGCAATTATATTTAATTACGAATTTAACTACGTTGATCTATGACAACTGCGTTATATTTTTTTGCTAGGTTTTTTTATCATTTTAATAAACGCGAAAAGCATAAAACATATGTCGATTTTTATTATGTAATATTGATATATAGCATCGAAGATTGACGATTTAAATATCTGTTTTGCGAAATCATCTTCTTTTAAAAGGATTTCTTCTTTTAAAAGTAAAGTAGATAAATTTGAATCTTTTAAGCTACGTTCTTTTTGTCATCGTGAAATTTATTCCATCTTC